GCCCCTTATCTTTCCCGGGCAGGTTCGGCGGGGACTCCGCCACCCCAGCGGGACGGGGGAGGGAGGGCGGCCGTGCCCCCCCCCGGCCCCCTCACACCGCCGCCTCCGCCGGGGCCTCCGGGCACGGGGGAAGCCTGTGCGGAAAAAGCCGCCGCGCTTTGGTTTTGCTGGCCCTCCCCACCGCCTTTAAGTCTTTAATGAGAAAGTTGGTGTTGTGGAGTCCCCTTCTTTGGAGATTTTCAAGACCCACCTGGATGCAGTCCTGAGTAACACGCTCTGACGAGCTCTAGGCAATCCTGCTTCAGCAGGGGAGTTGGACTAGATGATCTCTATGATCCCTTCCAACTCTAAAAATTCAGTGAAATTCAGTGAAATACTTGACCCCCTTGGGGGGGGGGGGGGGAGGTGTGTGGTGAGGGGTCAGGGTGGTAAAAATCCAAGCCTTGGTCTTTACGAAGTGAGAATGTCATATGAATGGCATTTCCTCGTTTCTGTTACTTTTCAAGACACCCTAACTTCCCTGGTGGAAAAAAAAAAAGAAGTAAGAAATCTGAACCTGACCAAAATTACCTTTAGAGATCTTTTTTTTTGGGGGGGAAGTATTTGACGGTTTGGTTGTGTCAGCCTGTCTGGCAGACTGGTGCTTCGTACAGCAGTGTTCTTAATTTTAGTTATTGCTAAAATTATACCTGAGCAGTTTCTTGACCCAGTTTCTGTTGCTGGTTTTTTTCCTCTCTCTTCTAATTCTTATCGTATTCTTCCTGACGTAGCCCATATCCTTCTTCTGCATCTACAGCAGCAGACCTCTGCTCTCAGTAGATATCCCTGACTTCAGATACTTAACTTTTGAAGGCTGACTCAGGCAGTTCGCTTTAGGTTCCTTGTATAAGGAAGAAATACACACCTGTGGAGTTCAGTTTGCTTCTCAGATGCTTATTTAGGATAGACAGAGCGGCATTCAGGAGATGACAGTCTCCACCTATTGAGATGGAGAACTTGGACAACTTGGTATCTCACTTTTTAGACAACTGAAGTTAGGGGAGATGAACTCTGTTGGAGCTCCATACGTATGGAAGGCTGTCTGCCCTGATATTCTTGTGCATTCTTGTATATTGTTAAAAATATTTGTAGCATTACCTTTCAAGTTACATAATTTACAATTTAGAAAAGAGATCTGGCAAAGCAGATCCATGCAAAAGATCTTCAGCGTCAATGTAGGTCAAACCGAGCAGCTTCTGCAGACTTTGCTCTCCACTCAAATTGTCTTGCGGGTTATTATGATTTATGTGTTGTTCAGAGGGGGCTAATACAGTAACAAAAAGAAGCAGCCCCACTCAGGTTGTAAATTAGAATTTACAGAAGGATTGCAAAAAACATAATTGACTTGAAGGCCAGGAAACTAAACCACTCACAGAACTGCTCTGTTTCACGTGGATGAAACTTCCATCCAGTGCTACTCTGTAGGAGCCCACATACAGGTGTGTGTTCTGTGGTATATTAGAAGGCCAACAAGCTAAGGTCAGGTAGGACAACCCCATGTACTCAGTGTGTCAGGGATGCTGTTTTCTTGAGTCTTTAATTTAAAAACCATTTTTTTAAAAAAATTAAAAGTTAAGGGTATGTATCTAAGAAGAGTTTTAAGTGTGGGATTAGTGCACTATGAATGAATGGAGTGGCTATGAATTATTTAGGAGTGTGGGCTGTTAGGGCCATGGCACCAGGACCTACTTTGTGGTACAAGGAAACCTTTTTCTTTTAGATCTTCATCCCTGTGGATTTTAGCATTGCATTCTTAGGTCTTACCAATGCTGGGATATTTGAATTAGAACTAGCTGGTCTGGAATGACTTCCCATGTGGAGGAGGATCTATTGTGAAATATATGTGATTTTTTTTTCTTTCGTTCTTTCTACTTCTTTCCGCTACTGAACTGTTATTTTTCTTTAGAAGTACACAGTATTCCAAAATAGAATTTATTAGTATTTCTGAATACTGTCCTGTTGAGTGACTGTTATAGAACAGCCATAATAGCTAATCTGAATTCATTCCATTCTGTAGTCAGGAACTCGGATCTGTGTATTATTTATTTCACACGCCTGTATTCAAGAATATGATGCAGACACAGGCTGTTCTGTGCTCAAACCTGCAGGGACCTGGAAGGTACTAACTTTGTGTAAAGTCTTCAGAGGTTATAGATATTAAAACCAAAGAAGACTGCTGAGCATGTGTATGTATGATGTTTTTCCCCGAGCTACAGGCTTATAATTTGGACAGATATATCCTTAAAAAAACACCCCCAGCATCTCAGCCGAGTTTCATGTCTGGTGTTTTAGAAGAGAGCTATTCAAAGCAAGTGCTTCCAGATTTTGTTTACATGGCCAAATTATCTTTTTTCTTGTGTTCAGAACCACCTGAAACAGTTGTTTCTTTTTTTTTTTTTCCATTTTTTTCCCTCCCCCTTTCAATTTCAGCCAGCTTTTGGTAGGAACAAAAGAGCTATTCAAAGCAAGTGCTTCCAGATTTTGTTTACATGGCCAAATTATCTTTTTTCTTGTGTTCAGAACCACCTGAAACAGTTGTTTCTTTTTTTTTTTTTCCATTTTTTTCCCTCCCCCTTTCAATTTCAGCCAGCATATGGTAGGAACAAAGACCTCCAGCCCAGTCTCAAAGTAAAGTTTGGCAACGCCGTCTCAGCTGAAGATAGCTTTTTTATGAGGGTTCCTTAAGCTTCCCTATATAAGGAAACCTGACTGCTCCACCTGTTAAAACATTAATAATACTGGAAGTTGTGAGGAGAAGCAGCTTGCAGGTTGATGGTTTAGAGCCCTTGGACCCCAGTATTGGTGAAATTACTCTGCAAGTGACTTTCTGAATATTGTCGAGGCATCCTGTCCCCTTGGTGAGCTCCCAAACGCGTGGTTCACGTGCAGTAGGAGTGTGTAACCTGGTCATTGCAGCATAAACTGCATGGTTCTCATGGGGCAAGAAAGAAACGATGCAAAGTAAAAAAAACCCTGAGTTTTGGAGTTTTCTCTCTGAGTTTAAACCTTTTTGTATCTTTTGAGATGGCAAATGTGGCAGGTGCTGTTAATACAGAGTTGCTATTTGTTCTTCCCCATCTTCCCACTCCCTCTGAAGTTTTAAATGAATTTCAGAAATCTGAAAATGGTTTCAAGATTGTTGCTACTTGCACTTTACAGCTGTTTGCAGCAAAGAGTTTGTCATTTCATTAAAGTTTCAAGTAAACAGTTTGATATTCACTCCCTCTTTTTCCTTCCTTGCCCTTTAGTCCTCAGAACTGTTACACATTCTGTTTCTGGGCGGTTTGACCAGTAGAAGTTGAAAGAAAACCAGTGTTCTTTAGGAGACATGCATTTCTTCTAAGTTAGTACAGGATTTCCAGCTGTGGCTGAAAGTTTACGGCAGTTTGTCCAGAAGTTGCCCAGTATCTATCGGTGCTGCTCTGGTCCCAGTGTGCCAGGTAGCAGGTTGCCAAGCTGACTTGCTCAGCCAGCTCTGGAAAATCGGGCTCTGAGTGGACTTTGTCAGGACCCTCCTTGGGAGGTAGAGCTTCACGGTAAAACTTACCCACCCCTCAGGGTTGTTTGGACCACCAAGCTCCTGTTTGGATAGCCACGCCTGGGTAGATGTGTACAGAGCTGAAGTCTCGACCTTGCACACCTGGACAAGCCAGACCTGATGCACTCTGGGCTGTCTCTTCGTTTTGGCCAAAGGGAGAAAGATTGTGGTGGTGGTGATGGCTAGCTGGTCGGCTTGCTGGTCCTTAGCTGGTTGGCCCAGCTGTAAAGCTGAAAACAAGAATCAATCTTAACTTCACCGATGTAAGCGCCAGCAGAAGATAAGGAGTCTTAAAAGCTGTACTGTTTTGACTTCAATGTATTTTAAAAATAACTCTGTTTCCCTTGATTTGTACACAATTACTCAAGTAGAAAGGGCTTCTGTACTGCTTTAACAGCACCTCCTCTCAGGCCTCTGTTTGGCAGATTAATAAAATAGTTACGTATTTAAACATTGTCATCGATCTGGATTAACTTTCAGGCTTGAGACCAGAGCTTGTGAAGCACTTGTAGCATCTCACAGAAGTTTGGTCTCGGCTCCTTTCCAAACGATCCTCTTTGCTGTGCTCTCATTGCAGCACCCTTGGTTCATTGCAGGCTCCATCGTTGTTACCGTGGCAGATGTTATTCACTGGATATTTCAGCTGAGCTTCCTTTTTTATTGAGTGTTGTGAACTTAAGTGGAAAATCTTCAAGAGAATTACTTGGCATATAACACTACTTGTGCTCATAAGTCACGGAATTGGGGCCATAATTTATACAATTACCTTCATTAGTCACAAAATGAAGGATTTAAGGTTGCCGGGGTATTGGGTGTTCTACACAGAGTACCATTTACATTTATTTTATATGTAACACCAGAGAGCCAGCTCCAATCTTTATCAAAACCAATAGGAGACGAAGACAAAAGGCTTCTGTGATCAAGACCTGGCCTTGTATTTAATCCCCAGGTGTGCCCTCAGGCTCCAGCACGATTACTCTCCATGTGGCTACGGAGCTTTGCGACAGATGTGGTGTCCAGTAGCGCTTAGGAAAGAAATGGGTGGAAAATATAGCTGTGGAAATACAGCTCTTCACACTCTCGGGTCTTGACTTTTGGTGGGTGCAGCTGTACAGTCTTAATTTTAGCAATTACACTTGATTCCGTTGAAGAGAAGGAGCCAGCCCCGTTAGGTTAAACTTGGAAATATGCAGATGTTTTCGCACCTCTGAAAAACGCAGTGAGGCTCTTCGACAAATTCTGTGTTTTCTGGCAGAATTGGTCCATTGCCTTAGGGAGGTTAACACAGCTTTTAGCTGGAAGTTTGTCTTCGATGATGTCGAAGGATTTAGAGACAATTTAGGAGCTATAGCTCAAATAGGAAAAAGGGCCTTGAGATATTTCTGAGCTCTCCCTCCCACTCAGCTGGTTTTCCAGCCAGAGTGTTCGATTTCCCAGGCTTCGGCCCTAGGACGTTTTGATATATAAATCTCAAAAGCCTTTTAATTAAATGTGTGACTAAGTAATCGCGCAGTTTTAAAGTACACCATTTAGGGATGAACGGATTTCTGTTTAAATCAGGGGAAGCCCAGCTGCTTCTTTCAGCTTTCCAGAAAATTGCTTGAAAAGCTGCGCATTGCTAACACGCTGTTGCTTATAGGTTGATATATTTTTGCAGTGGATATCCTTTTTAAAATAATCATAGCCTCTTAGAAATTTCTTACAGTAAGCACTGGCAGGAGAGTGTGTTTTGATATCTGCTTAAATTTTAAAGAGATGAATCAATCTAGTCTGTTTCTTTTATGAACGATTTGTTTGCAGGTATCATAAGGTTTGAGGGTGCTGTCGTTGTTCCTGGAAAAGGTTTTGTGTTTATTGAATAAAAATGTCAGGAAGTATTTTATGTATTTTCCTTGAACTCTGGACATTGATCTTCAGATGGAAGGCAGCGATACAGTTTTTTGGACTGATCTTTTTTAATGTTCTCTGTGTAATCTTGAATTGGTTTTGGTTTTGCCCCTCCTCCTTTTTTATTTTAACTTAAAAACATAAAAGTATGTTGCTGGAATGTGTTCTGTTGAACCAGAGCACTGTATCTGTTGCTACAAGCCAATGAGAAATGGAATTATTTCTGCACAAGCCTCATCTGGCATTAGAAAGTGGTTTTTGATGAAGAAACAACCATTGGAGGGGTTGTTTGTTTTATGGTTAAATGCTTTTATTTACTACCTTTGGAGCTCTGAAGAGTTTTCCCCAAGTTTCCTCACACACATGCAACTTATCTAAATTGCATGGTTCAGAAACACTCACATTTTTACTCAGAAACATCCAAACAATTTACTGCTGTGTCTGTGACCCCACAGGTCAGAATCTGTTCGTGGATTCCCCGCAGTAGCTCATACTGTCCAGAACTGCACCTTTGTGCTGCTCAGCTCACTGCGTACGGTATCCCAAGCAGACTTCAACATTAAATCTAAAATTTTACACTTAAAAATGTGTATTGTTTGCAGTTTTAATGAAAAATAGTGCAAGTTGCACTTTTCTGACAGTTCTTTGTTTAATTAGGCTATCTAGAGCTGCTTGTTTATCTCTAGCTTGCCTCGTCTTGCGTTTCTGGTTCTTACAGCATTGCCTCCATGGTAAAAAATTTGCAATCTTCAAGGATCAGATGGGCACACTCCTAATTCTGAGCTGTGCTTTACGGGGGGCAGTAGTCAATATAGCTACTCTTTGTTTGCTCCCCATACTTTGTTTAAAAAAAAAAAAAAAACAAAAAAAAAAAAAAAAAAACAAAAAAAAAAAAAAAAAAACAAAAAAAAAAAAAAAAAAACAAAAAAAAAAGAAAAGAAAACCAAACTCTTAGCACTCGGTGACCAAAGAAGGCTAAATTTAGTTTCTGAAACTATATATATTTATATATATAAACCTATGGCTGTGATTATTGTTTCAGATTATACATCATGTTTTTTTTCTCTCCCCAGGGCCGATTACTGGAAATCTCAGCCAAAAAAATTCTGCGATTACTGCAAGTGCTGGATAGCAGACAACAGACCTGTATGATGGTCTACCGTACAATGTCAATGTTTCTGAAAGATTAGGAATTTTGATTACAGGCTGTTAACCTTACTTTTGATACAATTCTCTTGATGCATGAAATCTGTGGTTTTAAAATGCCTTTGTAATACTTGTGATATTTAAAATGTGTTCTGTCGAGAGCCAGATACTGCATACAAGATGGTTTGTGCTGTTCTACTCGGCAGTACAGATAAGAACTGAAATATCTGACCCTGCTTTTTCTTCAGCTTCTGTAACTTAACATTTGATCTGTCTTGAAACCTTGTCCATGCCTGTTCCTCAGCTTTGTATGCGAATAGGAAGCAAAAGCTGGCCTATGTGCTGTTTGTATCTGGTAGGCCTGGTACAGCCAGCACTCTAAGCATTTAAAGCAGGTTTCTTTCATTTCACACAGCCCACAGAAACGTTACGGGGTTACAGAAAGGTGTTTCTGACTTGCAGATGCCTTTTGCATGCTGCTAGACCCATTGGTTTCTCACTTAGATAAGGTCTGCATTCCTGACTGAGTGCCAGGGGTACTCCTGGAGCTGAGCTCATCTGGATTACAATTAGGTACCTGTAGTTCAGAATGACAATCATGAGCTAATTGGGTTAGGCTAAAGTTTAGGTTAAAGGCCGAGGATTTGGCTAACATATCTCCTTTAACTGTCTTTAAATGAGATGAATCATCCCCTGGATGTGCATCTTCTGCACATCAGTTTGGGCAAAGAAATTCTAGGGCTCCTAGGTCAGGTTTAGGCACCTAAAGGAGCCCAGGTACTTTTTGTGAGAACCACATGAGAACTTCCACTGTCATACCTGTAGAGCTTCTGAACTCCTTCCAGTTCAGTTCCTACTGGCTTCGGTCTTTCTGGCAGCTTTTTGGCTTGCAGACTGTTCTGTTGTCCTTAGTTACCCAACTCTCCCACCATGCCTTTTCCTCTCACAGATTTGTAGACCTGCAGACAAGTTTAAGTTCATGGGATATTTGTGGAGCATAGCATAAGCTAATTAAGAAGCATAGCTAATATTTGGAACTTTAAAAAAGCCATATGGTTTTTAAAAGTCTGCATGAAAACAGAGAGGATCAAAAAAATTATCAAGGGATGATACTTGGAAGGATAGTGTGGAGAGGGAGCCCAGATTACCTGTTATTTGTCTGTAATCTGTGTGCTGAAGTGTATTATTTGAAAAATTTTAAATCTTATAAATACAGACTAAGATATTTTTTTGTAACGTTTTGGAGTGCTACTGATTTTTCATAATTTCTATGTTGAGTATTTCTTAGTGTTCCTGAATTCTTATATCCATTTTATAGTCATAGAATTTGCTGTACGTGTTTTCAGAACAGGTGACATTTAGGCTTGTTCAACGAAGTTTAGTCTAACTAAATTTTAATTAACTAAGATTAACTATGTTAAAATTGTGTTATATGTATTATTTTTCTTGGGTTTTTTCTTGCTTTTAAGAGCATTGATTTTCATGAAAGAGGAAAGAATCATAAAGAAAATGTGGCAAAAAGAATTAGTGAGGTAACTCAAATATCTTATTTGCACAAATACTTATTTTTCATCTCTTCCATTATCATACTTGTTTTATTTATTCTGTTTGGGCTTTTTGTTTTGTTTTAGATTAAAAAGAAAAGCTTGGAAAAAGCAAAAGAAGAAGAAAACATGTCAAAAGAATTTGCAGCAATGGAGGAGGCTGCAATGAAAGCATATCAAGAGGACATGAAAAGGCTTGGAATTAAGCCAGGTAGTTCATATAGCTGCCAAGGGATTCAAGGCAGAATTGAAAGAATATTGAGTAGGAATGTATTTTCTTAAATTAGGTTTTAGGAACACAAGAGCAGGCCTCCAGGACTGTGTTTGCTCATAAAAAAAAAAAAACAACAAAAAACCAAAACAAAAACCAACTAACCAACCAAAAATCCCTACCCAAATCCAAAACAACAAGGAGTCTGCAAATTGCCAGTAGCAGAAGTTGCAGTACAGAATGTTTTTAGCTACGGTGTCCTTTGGTCCATGGAACAATCCGATTTTGAGCAGAAAAATTAAACAATGTGATAACAAAAAATGGGCTGTAGTTGGTGCTTTGAATCAGCAGCGCAGCTTCCCTCAGTTAATTTTATGTTTGGTTTTTGCCAATTGGAGGCAAAAGTTTCTATTGCGTAGGAGACCTTGGATTCCCACTGGTGTCAAACGGTGGAGACAAGAATCTTCTGCTCAGCTTGCCTTTCTGCAAGTGCCTTGGTTCTGTCCACATGAAGACCTATTATCCTACAAAAAGAGTTTGTAGTTTCAAGCTCCTGGGGAAGCTATCTTTTTCATAACTTTTTTAGTTTCTTTTTTGTTGTTGCTTAGTTAAACCTGATTGATCCTGATGGTTTTTCTCTTTATGTTACTCATCTTTTGATATTTTGACTTTCTTATGATACTACAGTATCACTATCATGCAAGATTCTTTGAATATAATCTTTTAAGCTTACCTGCTATGAATGTAATACTAATGAGTGAAAGTACTCATAAGAACATTTCCTATTTGCTGTTCCTTCAAGAGTGACTAATATTTAAGCTCAGATTATTACTCTTTTTTTAACAGAGAGTATTATTTTCTTTAAGATGAGGTAGGTCCCAGTTCGACACAGAATAAACCACAGAGTAACACAGTGGAAACAAAAGAAAAGAAAGAGAAGAAGGAAAAGAAGGAGAAGAAAGAAAAGAAAAAAAAGACATCTCAGGACAACTCAAAAACTGAAACGAAGGAGTGGGTGCAAGGATTTTCTCCCGAAGGCTATACATATTACTACAACACAAAAACAGGAGGTAAAACCTAGTGAGAAGCAAATGCAGATATAGTTATTGGATATAAATGAGAAAAGACCACCTGCATTTCTTTATTCTTCTGCTCTCTCAGTAGTGAGCTAATTATTAGTATGTGAACAATTTGGTGGAGTTTTGATATTACATCCAAGGCTTAGGCATCTAGAACTTCAGGCTGGTTTCGCTGTGTGTTAATAATTGGAGAATGCAGTAATTCCAGTTTCTGAAATAGTTTAGCCTTTCAGAGGTTAAGTGTACAAAAGACAGCTGTGTTCTTCCTAAAGAAGCTTTCTTATCAGGAATATGAAGTCAATGACAGTAAGTAAATGAGAGCTGTTATGGATTGCTGCCTGATTGTTTCTTTCCACATTTACAGGATTTATCTAACTGACTGACTTTTGTTGAGGAGCAATGTGTTATGATCTACTTTAGAGCATAAAAGCAACCTTCTTTTAATTAGACTTAATGAGACTGTTACAGACTGTTTCTTATAAATTTAAGGGTTGACATTAGTATTTACTGTAGTCTTTCATCATACAAGGTAACTTCCAGATGGTAAAAATCTTGTGTGCTTAGTTCACTCTGGCCTATGCTACCATTTAAAAAACAACACCTTTTTTGTACCAAAATTCCAGTGTCTGTGTATCAGTTGTTGGTCGCTGTAAAGCCAACTGTAATAATTATGATACTTGGGTTTATTGTTCATACCATGGTTTGACAAAGGATGATTCGTATTTCAGTGAGGTGTATCTATATTACTTGTTTGTATGTGTGCACGTAATAGTGTCCTACCCTTTAGATCTGTTTTTTCTAAAAATTATTAAACTCAAACAGGATTGAATGATGGGTGAAACCTGTTTTTGCTTTTTTAGAATCCCAGTGGGAGAAGCCTAAAGGATTCCAAGGCAACTCTCAAAACTCACAAACGGTAATCGAATACTGTTATTCATACTTTTTTTTTTTTTTTTTTGTGATTCGTATTTCAGTGAGGTGTATCTATATTACTTGTTTGTATGTGTGCACGTAATAGTGTCCTACCCTTTAGATCTGTTTTTTCTAAAAATTATTAAACTCAAACAGGATTGAATGATGGGTGAAACCTGTTTTTGCTTTTTTAGAATCCCAGTGGGAGAAGCCTAAAGGATTCCAAGGCAACTCTCAAAACTCACAAACGGTAATCGAATATTCTTTTATTTATTCTTTTTTTTTTTTTTTTGTCCTTGTAAACACTTATCAGAAATAAACTAGGCAGTTTTCAAGTCTTCTGATTGCAGAAGATAAATTGTTTGCTCTTAGTAAACTTAGGAAAACATAATTTGACTAGACAGAATGTTTTATGATATACTTGATGAAAACTCGGATTTTGCTATACAAACCTCTGTTGGCTAATTTGTTTATCAAGGGAAGAGAAGTGATAGTGGCGGTTGTATTTTTACAGAATATGGTTTTTTGATGCTGCAGCCAATACAGTTAAAGGCTTTTTGGAAATTCTGAATCAATTCTGTCCATCTTTTTGTGAATAAAATGTAATTAAAAAAAATTCAAACTTATACATTTGAAGTAGTTAAAAGTCCTTTATTTTAGGAAACATTGAAATTGCATTGTCAGATAGAAAAAGAAGAATGCCTGTTTTTTGTGTTTACTTTAGGATACAGTGATGTGATAGTTAGTCTTTTTGGAAACTATGTGCAAGCAACCTTTTAGAATATTACTTTATTTTCCTTATTTATGGCACCAGAAAATTTGCCAAACAGTCTAAAGAAAGATAGATTTCTTATTACTATTAATGGGCTTACTGATACTTACCACTCCAGGATTTTTGTGCTTTACAACATTAAAAGTACGATTTTTACAACAATCCTGTGATGTTACGTTTCCCCATTTTCAAGATAGGTGTTATAAGTACAGTATGATTTACAGTCAGCGTTGTTTGTTAATGTTGGGTTTATGTTAGAGATCCAAAAAGCCTGGTTTTTTCAGAGCACTTGACATTCTGTAGCTCTATATTGTCCCATCTGAGAAGGTAGCTTACGCTCGGTACTGGGTTACTTACAGTCAGAGGTTATAATGGTTAAAATTGTGTATATTTTTAGGCGATTTAATCAATTCAAAAAATGTGTATCAAGTTCTGTCTCTATGCCATCTCCTGTTAAGGCAGTGTTTTATCTCAAAAATGCAGGCTTTTTCCATCCAGAGTTCATTCCCAAGAAACTGCACACTTGGTGTCAGAGCTGCCCATCACACGCTGCTCTGCCTTTCTGATTCCTTTATCCTGTGGTTTTGCACAACTTGTTAACCAGCACTTCAACTTTTATCTTTTTAGCCAAGATTTGCAATTTTTATAAGCTGCTCTTACTCTAGCCTTCTGCTGGAGGAGGTGGTCCTGGGATTAATCTTGTATGGTCCTTGCTGCATCTTTGCCCTGACAGTGAACTTGTTCAGGGAGTGAAGATATCAGAGTTTAGTGCTTTGTAGGCTCATGTCCTTGCATCAGCTCTCGGGGTAATCAGGGAAATGCCAGCGCGGGGCGAGCAGACGGAGGAGAGAAGGAGCTGCCTTCTTGGCAGCAGTTTGAAGTTGGCTCATCTCAGCTCTATCAGAAACACGCACCTTCAGCCTCGGATATCTCCCTAATGCCACATGGCTCTGTTTTGCCATCCCTCCCTCGCCCTCCTCGCTGACTTTGTGGTGTCTTGAGTTATTTTCGCTATTGCTAAAAACAAGCATTTGATTGCTCCCTTATTTAGTCTGAGCTAAAGATACTGGGAACATTCCAGATCTCTAACAAGGACTCACGCTGCCCAGAAATTAAAGGGCATGCTTGCAATGTGTAGCTCAAGTGAGATGTACAGGCTCTCCTTGTTTTACAGCACCTTACCCTGCTGCTTAGACTTTGTGGTGAAAGAGCAGTGTAATGAAAAGGTGTGTTGAAGGCTCCCACAGCTTCAGTTAGATTGATGTCATGCGTGTTAGCATTTGTGTAGTAAGATACTTGGTGTGCCTAATGTCAAATATCTGCTGAAAACCTCTGAGAACCAGGTTTAAAATGTTCAGGATCTAACTCTTAATGAAAGGATCGGTTATTCTTAAGACTAGTCTTTTGCCCTCTTTCTACTTACATAGAATTTGTTGAAACTACCTCACTGCAACTTTTGCGACAAAAACTTGAGGAAACTTGCTCACTGACAGCTTTCTTGCTTTTTGCTCTCTGAACCTACTGATAGTATTTTTCTGTTTCATCTGTACCTTTCTACAGAGCAGGTGCAAGAACATCAACTCCTGATTTTGTTGTGTTTTAAAAAAAGCCCACAGTTTTAAAAGAATATTAAGCAAATGTATAGATATGTGTGTGCAGAAGCCTGGCTGGGGGGGTGTGTATATGTGTACACACAGACATTTATTAATGCAAAAGCCACGTATAGTGAAGCTGCCTAGAAGTTCTGCCCCGTAGAGGGGAATGGACAGTGTTAGTACTTAAGGAGCAGTGAAGTTGTTTATGTCTAAGTGTTGATGGAAATCGGGTTCTTAAGGAAGATGTTAAGCCAGGTGTAATTAGCTGTGGCTGATCCTGCAAAACATCTTTATTTTAATTACACATCCACAGAGACATACCAGCAACTTCTGCCCCGTTTCATATTAATTAGCAGGGAAAACCAGTGCTTTGCTAAAATTGGTGCTTTACTAAATAAGTAAATTCATGGCATGCAAAGTTAGCTTCTTCAATATTTTTGGTGAAAATCTATTTTGGAATAAATTTTAGAAGTTTTGGGTTTGTTTGCTTATGTTTAATTTGTGATAGCATTTATTGGTACTGTTTTTCTGTAGCGCACACAAAACTCTGAGTCTTCCAGAAACATTTTTTCTTAGTGTTTACTTAAGACAATGACAAAACCGGGAAATGTCAAATTCAGGTGTGAATAATTTGGAAAATGAAAAAAAAAATGGTCTTTAATGACTTTTATCATCATTTGAACTGTATGACAACCTTTACTATACTGCCTCATACTAATTATCCACTGTTTGAACAAAATTGTCTATGTGCATTTGTAGTACATTCAGTTAAGCAATCTCAAATATTTGAGTCAAAGGGAATATTTTCTAAAAACTTCAGGGGTTCAAGCTTTAAAACAGTAAAATTATCCTGAACGAAAAATCCTCAAGGGTTGAATTGTCTTACAAGTGATGCGTTGGCTGATCCTTAAAACTCTTCTTTTTTAATTAGCTCCTATGTCTTTTTCTCAGGGAGCAGAGTGGGTAGAAGGTGTCACTGAAGATGGCCATACCTATTACTATAACACACAAACAGGAGGTAAGGAGAGCTTGTTTTCCACTTAAACTCTGTTTCAGAACAGAGAGGGTTTTCAGAGCAGTATTTTATTTTGCAAATAACTGCATTTTAAGGCTGTCACTAAGTTTTGTATTTTTCAAGCTGTTACCTTAGATGAAATATACTTGTTGCTTGAGTCAATGCTGGCTTTATAGTTGTATTGTCAGTGAGTGTGCATTTTAGACATTCAATTTATAACTCTAAAATATGGGTTCTTCTTTTCCACACATATATTGAAATTATTGTTTGGGAACCAGAAAGGGCAGGATTTTTTATTTTTTTGACAGGTATGTAGAACTGAATAAGGATATCCTAAACTTCTCTTCTTGCTGACGTAGCATTGATAAGAGAATCCAGAATCTTACCTCCTCCTTCTTTTCCCCATTTTTTTCCCTACATGGGGAACTTTGTGGTTACTCCCCCAGAACAAGCATCTGTTTTCTAAATCTGTTTGAATCGTTTTAAGGTCAATGATGCCTCTCTGGAGAGCACATGATTTTATTCTGGCTATGAGTTTTCCTGCTGCTCTTGGGTATGAAGTGGTGTTCCTGACCATGCCAAGAATAGGAAAAAAACAAACCCAAAACCTTTCAGTTTTTCAGCTCCACTCCCCTGCTCCAATGATTTGCAATTTTGGGTCTTTTTTTGAAAGGGAAATGAGATACTGGTTATTTTTAAACATTGCCTTCTAAGTTCAGATACATTTTATGCCTTTGGTTGTATGGTTTTTTAAAGTCCTTCACGCACTCGTGAAACTTGTGAAGAATCTTTTTGTAGCCATTGTATTTGGTAAAATTTTGACTTGTGAGATTGTAAAGCGATTCCTTACTTTGATGTAGCTGTAAGTATCTTGGAAATGCTTGAAAATTACTTGTCAGTTTTAATGCTAATCCCATCCTCTGAAGACAAGACAAAGTGTTAACCAAGGGGACTGATCACAGTGTCTCATCTCAGGTATATAACTTAAAATTAACTTTCCCAGTTACTGGTCTAAAGCTACATGGCAGCAGTGCCCGTAAGAGACTGGTCATTCCAAGCCACTCATTGCCAGTTTCTTACAGCTTTACCTCTTCAAGATACATCTAGGAGCATACCTGTTAAATGTTGCTTTCAGTTAGGGATTTCTTTGGAAATAGATAAAATAATTGGAAAAACAGTAGTTTTATTACATTTGAAAGCTTCAATAAAATTATAGATCGAAAGTTGGTGTATTTTTGCCTTATTGTTAGTAAAAGTAGTTTTAACATCAAGTCAACTTTTATTTAAATATTTCCTTGCAATATATTTGCTGGAATACTACCTTCTCATTGAAAATGAGGTCATATCCTGTAAATACTTTAATATCTTTTCAGAATAATGTTTTTATTTCCTTGTTTACTTGACGGCTCTTTAATTAGAGACCTAATGTTACCAAGCCAAGTAGTTCAGGGAAGGGGTTTATCTGCTGGCAGAGCTGAGGCTCACAGTCAGCATTCTTTACTTTATCCTTTCTTTGTAATCAACGGGCAACTCAAATCAAACAGGCACCTCGAGAGGGCAATTTGTTTGTCCTGTGGTAGGATGAGAGGGACCACAGTCTTGTGGACCACGGTTTGCCGTGCATGATGTTTTTCTTAAACAAGCTCTATCAACAGTGAACTCAGCTGTCACGACACTATCTCTGCTGGGAAGTGAAATGTTATCTTTTTGATTATGTTTATTAAAACAAACACGCCTAACAAAGGCGAAAGCCTTGTGCTGAATTATTTGATGTATTTTTGCATAAGGCAGCGTTGCTTCTGAAAGGTAACGTTGTCAAAGCAAGAACAGATCAGAATTAGGAACAAAACTAATGTGGTTATCCAAAATATCTCGGGCAGTATCCACATGGGAGAAACCGGCTGGTTTTGTTTCATCTTCAAAACAAGACAAGGATTCTGAAGAAACAGATTCCAAAGCGTCTGAATCGGACTCGGAAGACAGTGAAAATGAAGCACAGAGCTCAGAAAGGAATTTCAAGGTAAATTCTCTCTTCGGATTTATTTTACATACAGTATTAATTTTCCAGCGTAAGGTGATGTATCTTTTATCTCCTGTGATAGGCAGTACTCATTGTAATGAGGTTAAACCATATGACTGAAATTAGAAGTTTGCACTTGTTGGAATAGTAAAACGATTCTTTATTCAGTTATTTGGCCCATTAGTGTCACACTTCCAGAATAAGAAAGCACGATCTTTCCTTCAGCCCACCACAAGTAGATTGAATTCTGCCAGAAATGTGATGTTCTCTGAGAAAGGTCACTCATCTCTTTGAAATAATCCACAAAATCATTTGAATTTCAGTGTGAGCATATGACTTCTAACCTTCTTGGTACATGTGACTGCCAAGAGATCTTCAGGGAATGCCTCTGAAAATATATGGTTGTAGTTTCCTTATTAATTGAGAAAAGCCTGGGCAGTGCACAGTACAAAACCTGTATCAATTACTTATTTTTGCCTTCAGATTCAAAACTTAAGATAAAGGGTGTGATTATGGCTCTGGTTAGGTCAGATGTTTTTTCTGAAACTGGTAGTTCAGAACAACAGAGACGGTTTAAATATCAAGTAGACAGGTGTTAATCCTAAAATACGGATATTTGTATCACTGTGTATCATTATAAACTACTAGGTATTAGCTGTAAACTGTGTGTATCTGCATGCACAGAAAGCTTTATGTGAATTTTGTCTCTTTTTTTTTTTTTTCTAAACATGATAAGCTTTGTTTTTAAATAAGTTTGTGTTGGCTACTCCTTGCTAATTTTAGCCTTGATAGGTGGGATTTTCCAACTTTAACTTTTTGTAACATTTAAGATTTTTTTTCACCTCTGTATGTGATGAAAGCTCAAGGAGAAAAATTTAAGGATTTTATTACAACATGAGTTTATTGTTTCGAGTTACTCTTGGTTGAAAAGTATACAAAAGATGTAAAATAAAGCTACATTGTGTTTTTATTTAGGCATTTTTGCTTAAGGTGGGTTTTTTCCTCTTTAGAGGAAAGGAGATAATGGTGAAGAATCTGAGGAAGGGAAAAAGTCTTCCAAAGCTAAAAAGTTAAGTCCTTATGGAAAATGGCGAGAAGTTAAGTCAGAAGAAACAGCTGATAAAGAGGAGAGTTCATCAGCTTCCCAAGAAAGCTCTGGTGATGCTAACAAGACCAACCCGTATGGAAAATGGAAAGCAATTAAGCAAGAAGGAGAAGATGAAGAAGAAGAAGGAGGGTGAGGATCTTTTTACTGTAGTTATTTTCATAATATTTGTTTCCAGAATTCTTGTTTTCAGAGCTGAAGCTTTTTTTTTCTGAATTCTAGCAGAATTAGCACAGCAGTGATTGGTAACGTAGCCAAAATACAATTATTTCTGCAGTGATTTTAAGTAATAGCTCTCCATGGCAGATAGTGGTGGTGTTTTGGTTTTAATGTAGAAGTTCACCACAAGTACAAAGTAAATTTAAATGATTTAAAGGATCATTGTCATCCATTATTTTTCTCATCCATCATAGGCTGAGTATTAACTATATAAATGTAGTTACTCTAAGCTTACGTTCCTTAACATCATCTCCTTCAGCTGCCTCAGGAGCTCTTTTTCAACTCTTCCAGCCTTGGAACAGCATGGGCTGCTTTCTCAGGGCCTCTCGCTTCCAGGCTAAATTACAGAATCACAGAATCACATGTGGTTGGAAGGGACCTCTGGAGATCATCTAGTCCAATCCCCCCTGCCAAAGCAGGTCCACCTAGAGCAGGTTGCACAAGAACATGTCCAGGCGGGTTTTGAATGTCTCCAGAGAAGGAGACTCCACCACCTCTCTGGGAAGCCTATTCCAGTGCTCTACCACCCTCAAAGTAAATAAGTTCCTCCTCATGTTTAGGTGGAACGTCCTATGTTCAAGTTTGTGCCCATTTTGTCTTGTCCTGTCACTGGGCACCACTGAAAAAAGACTGGCCCATCCTCTTGACACCTACCCTTTAAGATTTATAGGCATTGATCAGATCCCCCCTCAGTCTTCTGCAGGCTAAAAAGACCCAGGTCCTTCAGCCCTTCAAATTCTTTCAAATTCTGTTTCTTTCTGATGAGTAATTAGCTGGGCTAACTTTGCCCAGAGTTCAAGATCTATCTTGATCTTCTAGAGACAGCAGCAACCTGATCTTGATCACGCTGGGTTAGTGTTGCCTTGAATTCCTTTCCTGTAAGATCAATAGTTGTGACACAATGAGTGTGCTCCGAGCGATTTCTGCCGCAGCCTGGTACCTTTGGCTGAGTTACTGCCACAAGCAGTGAATTATTTCTCACTTTGTGGCGTTTAACTGACTCTAAATTGTTCAGCTGAAGGACACGGCCTAAAAGACACTTCAGATTTTTTTGTCTGATTTTCACCCAATATTGCAGTAAAAAACTTCTGCTGGAACTGTTTCTTGTTCCCTAATTTCCCTCATTTCAAAACCAAGGTAATAAGCAAAACCAAACCAAAATCCACTACAACCTTTTCTGCTCTCCCTATGGGTAAGTCCTGAAGCCTTTTATAACGTGGTGGGAGACACCTTCTGTAACGACTTAAATAAGGAGATGAAAGACAAAACATGTGTAATCTGGTTATGCCAATTTTACATTTGGAAGCTGTCTCTCTCTCTCCCATGTCCAGCCAATGTACTCCAGATGTTTTCATGACATGCATCTGAGCAGAAGGCAGGGGGATTGTTTTGTTTCACTGCATAATGCCCAAGATGGCTCATTTTCTTGTGAATGCTGTCTTTTATGGCCAGTTTCTTGTTACAGGGCCCTCTAGGAGTCAGGAAAAATTAGGTTTGGAAGAGTGAAATCAGTCTTTTCCCACATACTGACCCCATTCTCCAGCACTATAGTTCTCAACTATTCAACAGATACATTGTTTGGACTAAATTAAGTGCTGATACACTTCCTTGGGGATGGTAATGTCACTTATCAGTTTATGTAGCACCTCCTGTATTGGACCAGCTCACTGCACCTTGACTCCAGAGCTGATATCTCATGGCTCTATTTTGGGTGCTTGAGCTGATCTGTGTCTTCCTGAAAGCACAGGACCTGAAACTAGGCACACACAGAGATGACATCAGGCTGGCACTCAGTGGTACTGAAAGATTTCTTGCATGGCTTGGCCAGGAGTACAATTATCTCTTTGCAGTGGTGTTATGCTGGTGTGATTCCTGATGGACTTATGATTTAGATCATTTTCTGGGAACTATTCAGTTGTTCTCCATCGTATGTTTGTGCTGCAGGTTATTCTTGTAGAGCACAGTGTTCTGCTGTTGACCTCTTAAAACCAACTGGTCATTTTTAGATGATATCTCTGATTTGTTCAGATCAGTATTAGCAGTGATTTTCTCTGCCAGAGCTGTTTTTCCCAACTTGGAGTCCTTGGCTGATTTTGTAAGTCTGTTCTCTGTTCTGTCATGCAGACTCTCAAGGATGGACACCTGCAAAAAACTATTCAATAGCATTTTGGCAGTGAAATATTGCTAATTAGGAAAAAATTTTACACTGAAAGGGCTATTAAGCATTGGAATGGGCTGCCCAGGGAAGTGGTTGAGGCACCATCCCTGGAGGTGTTCAAAAGATGAGTTGACTTAGTGCTTAGTGACATGGTTTAGTGAAGAGTTTTATCAGGGTTAGGTTGATGGTTGGAATAGATGATCTTGAAGGTCCCTTCCAACCGAGACAATTTTACAATTCTATGATTCTAATTACTCACTGACTACTGACTTTCAACATTCTTAGATTTACACACTGCAGTCCTGTTGTCTTTTACAGGACTATTTACGTGATGAGTTCTTGGGCCATTGAATAAGCTCTATAGCAAGTGAGGTCTAAGTTTTTTACTTTTCATACCAGCCCACATAGAAGAAACAGAGAACATGTTTTTTTTTCGTTTCCTGTTGTGATGATGATCTTGGCTAGAAAACTGCATCTAGCCCAAAGCTGCTTCGACAATTAAATTTGGATGTTTGACAGTTAAATATGAGAGTTCTGTGTCCAGCTCTGGAGCCTTCAGCACAGGAGAGACATGGACCTGTTGGAGTAGGTCCAGAGGAGGGCCATGGAAGTTATCAGAGGGCTGGATGGAGCACCTCTCCTGTGAGGACAGAATGAGAGTTGGGGTTGTTCAGCCTGGAGAAGAGACTGGAGACCTTGTTGCGGCCTTTCAGTACTTATGGATATTAGGAAAATTTTTTTCACTGAAAGGGTCATCAGATATTGGAATGGGCTGCCCAGGGAGGTGGTTGAGGCACCATCCCTGGAGGTGTTCAAAAGACAGGTTGATGTAGTGCTGGGAGGTATGGTTTAGTGATGATGCTCCTTGTTTGTTGTGTGGGTGTCTATTTTTGTCAGTTAGGTTGACGGTTGGACAAGATGATCTTTGAGGTCCCTTCCAACCTAGAAGATTCTGTGATTCTATGAAAGGCGGTTCATAAGAAAGATGGGGACAAACTTTTTAGCAGCACCTGTCGCGATAAGAAAAAGGATAATGGTTTAAAACTAAAAGAGGGAAGATTTAGACTAGACACAAGGAGGAAAGTCTTTACAATGCATGTGGTGAAACACTGGCACAGGTTGCCCAGAGAGGTGGGAGATGCCCCATCCCTGGATACATTCAAGGTCAGATTGGATGGGGCTCTGAGCAACCTGATCCAGTTGAAGACGTCCCTGCTCATTGCAGGACGTTGGGACTAGATGATCTCTAAAAGTCCCTTCCAACCCAAACTGTTCTGTGATTCTGTGTCACTGTCTGCAGTACACCATGTTGTTTTCTCCATGTAGATCAACCGTTTGATATTTTCCTCTCTTTTCCCAGTGAAAAAGTGGACCTGGAGCTTCCTAGTACAGAGAGTGACAGTATTCCAGCCCCAGTGCTAGATGTTGCAGAAGATGAGCCAGTGATATTCAAAGAGAAGACAGTCACTTCCCTTGGAGACATGACAGAAGGGGTGCCGACTTTTAAGAAGAGGAAATTTGAAAATGGAAAATCTAGAAACTTAAGACAAAGACTCAGTGATCAGTAATAATTAACAAATCATTTTAGATTGTCTTTAAGCTAGAGTGAATCAAAAGTTTAATATTTTAAACAGGCTTTTATAAAGAAAATGTTGGATAGAAATTAAGGATTTATAGCTATTAAAACGTGTGAGTTGTAATATTTTTTTATTTTATTTTGATGTGATTGACTTTGGAATGGAAGTTGGTGTTATATTACTTATGCAATATTGTAAATACATTTATTTTTTATTTTAACCATGCCATCTAAGTTTGCTTTGCTCTGTGTATGCTGTTTTAAATACATTGTGTAAGGTTTTTTACTCCTTTTCTAAGTATGGGAGAATGTGGTGATCCTTAATCTGGCAAAAATGATGCAGACCTTTCCTTTTTACAGAGGAAATGGATCAATGGAATGTACTAGAGAGTAAAATCATCCTCCAAAGTTTGTTTAGGTGGAGTAGTTTCCCAGTTAATGAGTAAAAATATTGTGATTACTAACCTTGGGCTAATTGCTTGCAAAAGAGCAGGTGGTGAGAGTGCCAACATTTTAAATAGGCCATTTGAAAGCTGCTTTTAGAGGAGTTACTCACATCGGTGCCACTCATTCCAAGTAACATTCCGAAATAAATTGGTTGTGTCTGTGCATGATGAGTGTATTAAACCTCTGCAGAAGATTTAAACCTGATGAATCTTGATTTTTAGTAACAGCACCAGAGCCACCCCTGTTGGAGTAGATATTTCTTTGGTGTCTTCCTGTTGTTTTTTCTGCCTTTTTCGCATCAAGCTTTCTTTTTTTGGTCTTGTTTTCTTTTTTGTCTCTTTCCCTGCAAGAAAAATAAAACCACAATTGCCTGATATTTTCAGGAAGAAAATATTCCAAAGGCCTGGCCCTGCTACAACATCCAGCAGCCTTTTTGAGGCTGATGGTTTTTGTCTGTTGTTAAGAGGAGCGTGTTGAACAGTGTTCACTAAGCTGAGAGGGCCTAAGTCCATCGAAGCTTCCTTTTTCTCAGTACCAAAGGTGAAGAAAACAAAAGATGGATAAGCAGAGCTGATGGCTGTAACTGTCCAAGATGGCTTGGACATTTTTTTTAAGGATTGGAGGTTTGATTTCTTCACTTGGTGGGACTGGTCTGCGTTTAGCATCATCAAGAGTCATTGGCTGCATAAGAATATGCTGGTTGCTTCTCTAGGGATCAAAGAGCCGACCATAAGGGTTCACGTCATGAATCCATTAAAAAAATGCATCTCCATTTCTAAAGCTCGCAGTGTTGTGTTCTGGAGAGCCTCAGTCACAGAGGGTGCAGCTGAGACAGTTGGCAGAGTCCAGCTACAGCAAAGTAGAGTCACAAAGCTGCTGGGCCTGAACTTCATGGAGAAAACCTCTGTTCATCTGTGAGATCAGCGCAGGAAGGACCGCGGGGCAGGGAATGCGGCTTATCCTGTGTTACAAAGGAAGCTCAAGGCCTTTTCTCTCTTCTGTCACATTTTCTCTGTGTGTAGGAGAGAATTAAGTATTGTAGGGGATGACTTAAGTAGTGTAGGGGATGACTTTGTAGAGTAGGGTGGATGGTTGGACTCGATGATCCCAAGGGTCTCTTCCAACCTGAATGATTCTATGGTTCTATGGTATTGAATCCCGTGTGTTTCTTTGGCTTCAGCAGGGTCAATGTATTTGTTCTGATGTTTCTTTTGAGAAATGTGAAAGTTCCCTGCAGGATCTAGCCCTAGATTGTCATTTAGGGATGTGGGATGCTCTCACAGCCATAGATGCAGGAATGTACAACATGTGCTCCACATCAGAGACCTCACATGCAAGGCTGGAACAGAAATGTGCTTTCTACCACAGAGAGGTTGGCAGGTTTCTTTTTTAAAAAGCAGATTTTTCAGGTTTTGCTCTTACTCTTCTTTGAGTATTATTCCAGCAGCTGAGAGCCTGCTCTGACTCGAAGCCCCCGTGTGTTTGCGCTCAGTTTGCACTCATTTCCTCCCAACCACCACGAGTGTTGCCCTTCAGCTAAGTAGCTTTTCTTCCTCTTGAATCCATCCTGTCTTCCCTGAGTCACCTAAAGCGTCCTTGTGTGACAGGGCCTTCAGTGCTCCACCACCACAGCTCTTCATCCATTCCAGCCCGAGTTTGCCTGGGCTCTGCGCTCAAGGAAGATTAAGGCCAGGCCTGATGTCACTAATGCTTCCTCAGCCTATTGGAAAGAACTTCTGATACGTCCCTAAACCACATTTGCCTTTCACATGACTACAGCGTGCTGTCTGCGGGGGGGGCCCTGTGATTTACCAGGATAACTGCCTCTTTCTGCTCCTTCGCCATGGCCAACTGCTGAGTGAACAGCTGATCAGGCTTTCCCTTTCAAGCACAAGTTTTTATGGCCAACAAATCTGGTTTGTACGGCTGTGCTCACCCTGCTGCTGCTACTCCCAGCCTAATTCATTTCTTTATGATCTCTGTAAAACAACAGTATTGTTTATTAGTACAGCTTTATATAGTAGCATAATAGTAACGTATACTCGGCACTGGTGAGGCCCCACCTCCAGTACTGTGTCCAGTTTTGGGCCCCTCACCACAAAAAAGACATCGAGGTGCTGGAGCGGGTCCAGAGAAGGGCAACAAAGCTGGTGAGGGGTCTGGAGCACAAGTGTTATGAGGAGAGGCTGAGGGAGCTGGGGTTATTCAGCCTGGAGAAAAGGAGGCTGAGGGGAGACCTTATTGCTTTCTACAACTACCTGAAAGGAGGCTGGAGAGAGGTGGGGGTCGGTCTCTTTCTCAAGTCACAGGCGACAGGATGAGAGGAAATGGCCTCAAGTTGCGCCAGGGGAGGTTCAGGCTGGATATTAGGAAAAATTTTTTCCCTGAAAGGGTTATCAGACATTGGAATGGGCTGCCCAGGGAGGTGGTTGAGGCACCATCCCTGCAGGTGTTCAAAAGACGGGTTGATGTAGTGCTGGGAGGTATGGTTTAGTGATGATGCTCCTTGTTTGTTGTGTGGGTGTCTATTTTTGTCAGTTAGGTTGATGGTTGGACAAGATGATCTTTGAGGTCACTTCCAACCTAGAAGATTCTGTGATAAGGATTTTTTTGGTAGGCTCCACTTTTAATATGTTCTGGTGAGGACATCTTTCCTCTTTTAGGGAGTGTATCTTTCCTTCCAAGTGTTTTGTCACACTGAAGTGGTCATAGGCAGTGATTAATAATAACTCATAACTAAATTGCTCAAGCAGCCGTTTAAAAATATCTGGAAGCCAAAGTGTTTGAAACTTGTTTCCTTGAGGAGCTGCTGTTTTGTTGTAACGTCAACCAAAGATCTCTGTCAAGTACTGTGTTTAACAGAGAGACCAAAACAAGTATTTATATTAGGAGAAAAGATGAAATGTTTTCTTGTTCACTGATAGTAGAGTTGCTTCAAATACCATTGGCTTGCTTTTGCTGATGGGACTTCCAAAGCCTGCGTTTGATGAAGAAATCCAGCGCTTCGCTCCCCACTACCTTTGAGTATCAGTTTGAGGAGAGACCAGTTTATTCCTTGTCCTTAAATGTAAATTATAATAAGGGCCAGTTGAATCCAATTTGATCTATCCCAAGCCGCTGTTTGATTTTGCACCGTGCTGTCATTCCATTTCCTTGCTGTGGATCTAAACCAAATATTTTCTCTCCCGCATAAAAACACGGTCTTGCGTGCGATTTAAGGCAGACGCTGCTTTTCCAGGACATCTGTTCTGCACAGACCCCTCTCCCTTCGGCGCTATCTCCCAGCAAAAATCTTCTGCCCTAGGAATTTGCTGTAGGAATCCTCTCGGAATTACCACAGTTAGGCTCATCTGCTAATCCTTCCTCGGGCTGCGCTGGCTTTTGACAAAGGAATGTTCCTTTTACTGTTTCAGAAGAAGAGTGTTTTGGTTTTTGCCTGACCCCTGCTCTGCCCTGCAGCACGTTTTCATCTGCCCACCTGTTTTCATCGCAAGCTCCTTGAGTGAGGGCTCCATCCTTGGTTCTATAGGTGGCCATAGAAGATATTAGCAATATTAGAAGGGGAGTTGGAGAGAAAAGGGGAGTCGTTGCCATTTCCAATGATGATTTCTTGTGTGTGATTTTTGAGCAAGTGGATTCACTGCTCTGTATTTTTTTATTCATCTTCCACCTGTCTTCTCTGTTTAGAAAGAGATTCACGGTACAGGACGCTTATCTTTGGTGGGAACGGGGGGTGTTTTTACAGGAGGGCCTGCCTGAAGTTGGTGATGCTTTTAGAAGCAAATATATTGCACACACTAAAAAAGAAAATTATTTTCTTGGGCATTTGTTATGCCAGGAGTTGTGCGGAGACCTGCTCCATTTGACTCAGGTTGCAGAATAACCCTTGTTCCTAACCAGGCTAAGCCAAGTTTTAACCCTTCACCTGGGAATTTGTAGATTTAAATCCAGACTTTCCCAGTAGGGTAATTTGTTTGTTTGTTTGTTTGACCCTCATAGACAAAATCTGTGCTGCAGCATCATCCAATCTCAAAATTCAGATTTGGATCATGACATGGATCTCAGTCAAATCGATCAACCTGTGCATGGATAAAAACATAACAGAAAAAGATGTTATTTCAGTGCATGATTTGGCATCTCAGAAAGGGAGTAAAAAACTATTTCATGCCGCGTGGTTTTCTTGATTTGCTTCTTGACTTACGCCTCCTCGTTTTAGTACTTTTCTTATTACTGGTGTCTTTCCTCAAACCTTCTTCCTCCAGCCTTCCTTTATATGCAAATCTCCGTGTCACCGCCGTGCTGCCTTTCCGGTGCCCACCTTCCCCTTATCCCCTGCTCTCCCCAGATCTTTGAGATCTTTGCAAAGCCTCACGTTGTCTTACGGGGGCCACCCTGTCTCCAGGTCCCAGCTGACACCAGCCCTTTTGCTGCCCGTTTGCGTCCTGCCCCGGAGAAGAACAACCTCCCCCCTTTCCAACCAACACACCAGCTATTTCAGGGACGGGCTACACGTGCTCTTGGATTTTCTTGATGATTTGTTTTCCTGAGACAGATTTCGTTCCATTCCTCCTACGGGGTTTTGCAGCCCTTAAATCCTTTTGCTTCTTGGTACAAAAGCTGGCTGTGTTACCTCCTGCTGCCGCAACCCTTGGGTTCTCTTTTGTCAGCCATATCTCTTCAGTCTCTCTTGTATCTACCTCTGAAGTCCTCTCACCTTCTCCCCGCTAAATTATTGAACCTAGAAGTCATGTTAACCCTTTGTGTGATTAACAAATCTACCTTCGTGCAACGTTTCAGGATATCGCTTCAATAAAAAAAGTTCCTGTACGAAGCAAAAAGCCTCGCAAATAATAAGCTGGAAAAAGGCTAAATTTGCCCAAGAGATTTAGTTTATAAGTATTGTCCGCAAAGTTGAACCAGCTGGTTTCTCCTCAGCGGCTTCTCAGTCGCAATTACAAAATACTGCAAGCTCTTGAAGTGGGAGTTTGTCTGAAAATACCCAATAAAGCTTTCATTTGAACGATCTCTGGTACCGTCGTCCCATCTGTTGGAGGGTTTGGGGAGTTTTATGGGTGCATGTTCTGCTAAAAATGGGGCCCAGGGTAAATATAAACCAAAATAGGTATGTAAACACAGAAATGCTTCTTAAAAGAAATACTTTTATTTCGTGGTCATCAACATAGTGTCTGGGTGCCTCCCAGCAGTGCATTGAGCAGTTCCTGGGAATTGTTTTATTTTGTGCATCAATTACGAGTGTTAACAAATGATCTGGGTTAAAACAGGTGCAGCGGAGGCCACGAAGATGCTCAGAGGGATGGAGCACCTCTCCTGTGAAGACAGGCTGAGAGAGCTGGGATTGTTCAGCCTGGAGAAGAGAAGGCTCCGGGGAGACCTTCTAGCGGCCTTTCAATATCTGAAGGGTGCCTATAGAAGAGCTGGGGAGGGACTCTTTGCCAGGAAGGGTAATGATAGGACAAGGGGAAACGGTTTTAAATTGGAAGAAAAAAGATTCAGATTAGATCTCAGGAAGAAATTCTTTACTAAGAGGGTGGTGAGACACTGGAACAGGTTGCCCAGAGAACTTGAGGATGCCCCATCCGTGAAAGTGTTTAAGACCAGGCTTTAGGGGGCTTGGGGCAACCTGCTCTAGTGGGAGGTGTCCCTGCCCAGGGCAGGGGGTTGGAACTTGATGATTTTTGAGGTCCCTTCCAACCCAAACCACTCTATGATTCTATGAATTGTTAAATTTTCATATTCCCACCAGAGTTCCAGTAATATTTGCTGTCGTTACATTTTAGTGACGCTCAGAATGCCACTGAATATATAAAGTTTCTGGTGGTAACAGCTTGTGATCCAGTAGTCTTCAAAGATACACACTTTCAAAAGGTGAGGAATGCATGTAATTATTTCACAACATTTTTCTTTTACTGAAGAAAAATCTTATTGTCCAGGTGATCTTTTGGCAACTTTTTTAACAGAAAGTGAAAAAAAAACCTCTTCAGCTGTACTAAACAGCTAGAAAAAACTAAGAGGGTCCAGGCAAACAGCTCCGGTAGAGGAGGAAGTTGCTAACAAAGGTTGGTTATTTCTTCCTTTTAGCTAGAGGAGAGCAAGCAGCTCGCTACTTCAAGTGGATAAATTCATTTGCAGTTCCAGGATGAGATGTTCCATTGATGATTACGTGGAAGCAATGGAGGTGAGGTACCAGGGCTGTTCTTCCTGTGCAGAGGGGAAGCAGAGGGTGACTTCCAGGCTCGGCTTTGGTCTGGCTTCCTCCTCTGCTGGCTGGGACGCTGCCACGCCGGACCAAGGCAGGGAAACCAAAGAGATCTGGGAACTACGTTTCACATCAACCACATGGAGCTGAAGAGAGATGAAGCTGGTTCCTGGCACCACCTGCAACGTCACATCCCTGAGCAAGGTCTCAGTCACACACATGGAGGGATGATCATGAGCAGGGGGTAGAGGTTAGAGGGGTAATGGTTATAAATTGAAAGAGAGGAGATTTAGATTAGATATTAGGAAGAAATTCTTTAGCGTGATGGTGGTGAGACACTGGAACAGGTTACCCAGAGATGCAGTAGATGCCCCACCACTGGAAACATTCAAGGCCAGGCTGGATGGGGCTCTGAGCAACCTGCTCTAGTGGGAGGTGTCCCTGCCCATGGCAGGGGGGTTGGAACTTGATGATCTTTAAGGTCCCTTCCAACCCGACCCATTCTATGAGTCTCTGAGGAGAAGCCAGGTAGGGAGGGTGTATTTTGTTCCGGTTGTTGCAACACTTCTTGACAACAAAACATGAAGCTGCAGCAAAAGGCTGTTCCTACCTGGTGAACCTGCTCTTGCTCTGCTCTCCCGTGACCACTCGAGCTGTCCTGAGGGACCTGGCTGCCTTCCAAGGAGCCGCTTCCCTTTTTTCCTCCCTGTGCTCTGTTATCATAATTTCTCCTGCTAGTGGTTTCGCTGCTGAAAGGCAGGATTTCTTGTAGGAACTGAAAAGCCCAAATTCAGCGTATTCCATCCTGAAAACACCCCAGCGATGTCATCGTTATACCTCACAGCCCTCCCCTGAGGACAAGTGCCAGCCCACAGCCAAACCCCATCACAATCTCAGCTCATGCATCCTACAGAGAGATGGAAGAACTTAGAATAAAGTATGGCTTGGAATAATAGTGGAAGTTAGGAGAAAGCATTGCTCCAAATAACTCTTCGTCAGTGAGGAGAAGCCAATACACCTGGCTTGAGTAAAAGAGAGAGCTGTAGGCAATGACCTCCTGGAGAAGCAGGTTTGTTCTGTACCCAAGTCTCTGTCACAGCTGAGCACAGCAGTATTTTGCTGTCATACACGGATTGGGGTGATGGCAGGAGAACCTTAATACGCCCAAGATCCTTCAGGATGCACGGGACCAGCCCAGGAGAAGGGATTTGGCTGCTAAATTTCAGTGCCTGCACTGGGGACACCCAAAACATAGCAGTAGAGGGGAGCTGCCTTCTGCTTTCCCCTTTCTCATCAACCTGCAGGAAACCATCAACAACAAAGAAGCGCTACAGAAAATGAATTAACTTGGTTGCAAATATCCCTAAGGTCCTGCAGGCAAAAAATGAGCATCTTTCTTCCCAAAACATAAGTGTTGGAACGGTTTTTCATAGTAAAGGACTTCACAGGCACCAACCAAGCCTAGAAGTACAACCCGATGATTTAAAAGGCGGACTTTGTAAGTAGGTTCTAAGATTGTTCAAGGTATATCATTAATAAAATAAATCAGTTTGCATCACAAAAGTGAGCACTGTAATTGGATAAGCACGTTAAGGGGACACTCTCCTATTGCAGCTGGTGGTATTAGTTATTGCCAGTCACCACCAAGTTGAGTGTGTGTAAGTGTATCCATATTTTTTTAATATAATTAGAAGCTGAGCTGTGTATCTTCCTGGAGGTCTTTTTTCTTTCCTGAACTGCTTTCTGCAAATAGTCAAAGTTCAAGTGCGCAAATGACTCTAAGTCACATGGTAACAAGTTTCCTGATTACGTAGAGAGTTATAAATTTAAAAAAAAAAAAGCTTTTGTAATGAGCTGGAAGCAAGTCAGAAATGGTCAGACAAAGCTCACTGATAAGACTGTGCAAACACACAAAAGAGCTGAGAAAAAAAAAATGCAGAATGGAGAACCTGAGCCCAGTTTTCCTGCTTTCTTCCTGGTACAAACTGTGTCTTGCTAAGTATAGCTGACTAAAGTCACAACTGTTCATAGAATCATAGAATTGCCCAGGCCGGAAGGGACCTCCAAAGGTCATCTAGTCCAACCCCCCCGCAGTCAGCAGGGACACCCCCAACTAGACCAGGTTGCCCAGGGCCTCGTCGAGCCTCTCCTTGAATATCTCCAGGGAAGGGGCCTCAACCACCTCCCTGGGCAACCTGTTCCAGTGCTCCACCACCCTCACAGTGAAGAACCCTCTCCTAATCTCCAGTTGTAACAAACTGTTGTTTGTTATATATACAGTAGTAAAAACCATCCCATTAAGAAGAACTCAGTTTTGAAATAATTCTTTTTCTTAAGATAACTGACATTTTCTCACTCCTGTATCATTAGTGATTGCAAAATAGATGTATAAATACAAACCAAACACAAGGTGTCACTTAAATGGTAACAACAAAGTGATCCCTCACGTGCAGAAGGCCGTGCAGAGCAGCTTTACAGCATGACCTGGGAAGTCTTATGAGGAGAGGCTGAGGGAGCTGGGGTTGATCAGCCTGGAGAAGAGGAGGCTGAGGGGAGACCTTATGTCTCTTTACCACTACCTGCAAGGACGCTTTAGAGAGATGGGGGTCGGTCTCTTTTCTCAAGTCACGGGCGACAGGATGAGAGGAAATGGCCTCAAGTTGCGCCAGGGGAGGGTCAGGCTGGATATTAGGAAAAATTTGTTCACTGAAAGGGTCATTAGCCATTGGAATGGGCTGCCCAGGGAGGAAGTTGAGGCACCTGGAGGTGTTCAAAAGACAGGTTGATGTAGTGCTGGGAGGTATGGTTTAGTGATGGTGATGCTTTTTGTTTGTTGTGTGGGTATTTATTTTTGTCAAAATTAGGTTGACGCCATGAAGATCATCGAGTTCCAACCCCCCTGCCATTAGAAGATTCTGTGGTTCTGTGACAAGAGGAAATGGCTTCAAGTCGCACCAGGGAAGGTTTAATTGGATGTTAGGAAAAATTTCTACCCCAAAAGGGTTGTCAAGCATCGGAACAGGCTGCACCACCCCTGGAAATATTTAAAAGATGGGTGGTGATAGTGCTTACTGACATGGTTTAGTGGTGGGTTTGTCAGTGTTGGTACTTGATGATCTTCAAGTTCCCTTCCAAAGGAGACAATTCTATCATTCTATATCTGGATCACCCTCAGAGACAGGCACACAAAGACATCAAGGCAGAAGCTGAATTCCAGAGCTCCCCAATTTGCTAGAATGCAGCTACACTACGATCTTGTTTTCTCTGCCAAGCAGCAGGGAGCTGCCTGTTATCACTGCTGAACTCCTTCCAGAATCTCATCAACTTAATTAGAAACTAGAACACGCACTTCCACGCTCCGCGGCAGCATGTGGTCCAGACCCACCCTAAGCTGACCCAAGAATGGCTGGAAGAAAGCTTGACAGGCTTCTCCCTTAAGATTCTGGCTGCTTCCCTGACATCACTCCCTTTGCTTTTGTGTATTGACTCTAAAAAATAAAGCATTATAATACAGTGATCTTTACGGGACTACATTTGGGAAGCTCACCCAATCAATGGATAAAAATATGTATTATTCACAAGGCCAGATTCTAGAATATTAGGGGAGCTCAGGTTCTTTCACCTGCAGAGGAACATCTCCCACCCCTAAACCCAAACATACACTATGTGGTATTTCTTCTTCATCACCAGGATTCTGTATCTTTCCAGCTGAATATGGGCAAGAGAAGGACCAGTTTAACAAAGCCATGATGCCACGACAGAAGGGACGTGCACACAGAACTCCAAGCTTGTTCTTTTCTTCTAGGGCTGCTGTAATAAACTCAACCCATTTACACCAAAATATATATAAAAAAGAGTAGTAGCACACACTGAAAAACAGAGGCATGGATTTTAATCAATATATCATATAACAAACAAAACCATTTGGTGGAGAACACAACATTTCTGCTTTAACTCTACACTTACTCTTTTAACTCCACAACTCTAAGGTCTTCAGCAGCCTCCTCCTTCTAAAGCCTGCAGATTTTCTAGATATTCGGTGGCAGCCTCTATCTCTGCAAACTCCAGCAGTCTGTTGATCAGCTTATCCAGAGCTTCTTTCCCACTTAGAATTTCCTAGGAAAAAAACCCACCATAAGACCAGACAAAAGCATGACTGCCTGCACGTAAGAATTATCCTGCAACACTGATGACTCAAACAAGGAGCTCCTGAAATGCGCTTTGTCTTATCCCAGTGCATGCTCTGGCTGGTCTCTGCGGCTCCCTGGGTGACACCAACCTGTGTGCAGTCCCCAGGGACTCCTGCTGCCCACCTGGAAACACCACACGGATTCTGGCAGCAGCAAAAGGAGCTCTCGGTGCCTTCCTGCCCTGCTTTCATGGAACTCATGGGTTTACATGAAAATCCCCCGGCAAGACCAATCCAGGACTGAAGAACCTAATTCAAATACTGTTCTTAATGCCAAGAAGTAATTTTGCAAAGTTTAACTAACTTTTATTAGGCAGTTGACGGTTTCAGTTTCACTCAAGAAAAGGAACAAGTTCCCAGGAAAAGCTTAACTAACAAAACTAATTTTTATACAGTCATGGAACTTCTTCCAGTTCTTCTCCACCACGGTATTTGTGCAGGTGTTCCCCACTCCATGAAATATTCCATATTCCCCATGCCCTGTGCTCTCTGAAGTTACCCAGGATGGCTGTAGGTACAGTTCGAAAAATGTTGCTTCTTAGGCAACAGCAGTTACAGTAAACTGGGCACCTAAGCCAAAATACTGAAGGGTCACCCTAAACTTTGTCCTAAAATTCAAAACATTTTCATAAATTTTATACAGAACAATACGTTACCTGGTATTTGTTTCTGTGTAAAAAAAAACCAATAAACAACATTCAATCTGTATGTAGAGATTTACTCATAAATAAGACATCAAGTAATCTTAAAATGAAAGCATTCCATTTCAGGTCTTTTTAACTGTGGCTTGCAATGCAAACAAAGTTTTTCTCCTTCTTCACTTCATCATTAGAAGGAGGAAGAAAGACTGGCTTAATGATAAATAAGTCCTTCAAGTCAGATTTTTCTTTCAGATGTACTGAGCTTTGAGAACCTTAAATGTCACTTGCCCAGTTTGGCCAAGGGACTCACGGAGATCTCTGAGGGCTACATGCATCATGTTTCACATATATAGTAAGAGAAAAATAGAGAAATAGGCCAGAGAGTTGCCTCCTGTGCCAGACATCTTTAACACTACCCTACCACAAGGCAGGAAAGGAAGTTTAAGCTTTCTAAATCACAGTATCATAGAGTGGTTAGAGTTGGAAGAGACCATGAAGATCATCGAGTTCCAACCCCCCTGCCATGGGCAGGGACACCTCCCACTAGAGCAGGTTGCTCAGAGCCCCATCCAGCCTGGCCTTGAACACTTCCAGGGATGGGGCATCCACAGCTTCTCTGGGCAACCTGTTCCAGTGTTGCACCAGCCTCGGAGTGAAGAATTTCTTCCTAATGTCTAATCTAAATCTCTTTCAGTTTAAAACCATTACCCCTTGTCCTGTCACTACACTCCCTGATCAAGAGTCCCTCCCCATCTCTCCTGTAGGCCCCCTGAAGTACTGGAAGGCTGTTATAAGGTCTCCCTGGAGCCTTCTCTTCTCCAGGCTGAACAACCCCAACTGTCTCAGCCTGTCAATCTACAATGTTCTGTCAGAGCACAACAGGTCATCTGCTTTCCTCAGATACATTAAATTGTTTTCACCAGGTTTAACTTCTCTTCACACGGTACACATAAGCGTCTGACTTTTAAATCTCTCCCAAGAAACCATTACCTTGATATTGCGTGCATCATACGAGATCCTGTGGTCGGTGACTCTGTCCTGGGTGAAGTTGTAAGTACGAATTCTCTCTGACTGGGCTCTCGTTCCCAACTGTAGTGAAGTAGCAAAAAATAAAAATATTCTACTATAATGTGATTAAAAAAAAAATCAACTACTACTCTAAATCAGGCTGATGCATTAAAGTTTATTCTATCTTACCTACAAACTTAATGGTCACTGACAACATTTTTTTTAAAATATCATTGCATCACTAAACAGTAATATTTGCAATTTTGCATCATAGACCAAATTTTTACATCTTTCAGTCCACTTTTATTCCAGCTCTGTAGCTGCAAGAATTGCATAATTCTCAAAAGTCACGTAAGGCAAGATATAAGTCTGTATGTGTCCTTAGTTCAAAAATGTAAGTGTATTTTTCTTTGCCAGGTGTTGGGGGGGGCGGTGTTTAGCTCCCACAGCAGCTAATGACGGGGGGCACCATTAACAACAGAAGCAGTAGAGTCAACGTTGCAATTTCTGGCATTTGGCTGCCAGAAATTAGCCCTGAAAGAGGAGGATTAAATTGAGACTACAAAGAGTAGTCCTCTAGTGGCAAAGCGCAAGAGTGCACGCAATTCTAAAAGTTTTAAACCAGAAATCCCAATGTAGCACTGTTGTGCGGTCAAATGCTTTATTAAAATGGAGAATTAAATGTTAAAAACTGCTTAGAGATGTCTGCTTCAATGGGCTTTTTAAAAAATTTCATCTGCACCCACATGTATATTTCATAGCAAGAAAGTTTTTTAATATATTCTGAAAGAAAAGGTAATTTACTTTTGCCTGGGTTTCTGTAGTATTCATATAAATGTACATCTAAGTTATTCAGCTGTGAAGATTCTCAAGCTAATACTAATAACAAAAGATAAACTGGTCACCACTTACAATGACTGAGTTAACAATCTGCAGGAACAATACATTAAAACAACCTGAAATTAGTCATTAAAAAGCTAAACTGGAAATTCTGAAGCACTGAGTAATTTTGTAATTCTGACTCATCTTTATTCCTGTTGATCACTGTTGAGGTTCACACAACAAATAGGAAAATACTCAAAGAATGGGAAAAGAGTGAGAGCACGTTTCAAGAGAAAAGCACACTTTGCAGCATAACTTGAGGTAACCAACTCGGGGGAGTCACTTCTTCCACAAAAGGTTACCTAAACCACGGCAAATCAACTGTTACCCAACTGTGAAGCGGCAGGATTGTTTATCACAGAATCACAGAATCTTCTAGGTTGGAAGGGACCTTAAAGATCCTCTTGTCCAACCGTCAACCTAACTGACAAAAATAGACACCTGCACAACAAACAAGGAGCATCACCATCACTAAACCATACCTCCCAGCACTACATCAACCCATCTTTTGAACCCCTCCAGGGATGGTGCCTCAACCACCTCCCTGGGCAGCCCATTCCAATATCTGATAACCCTTTCAGTGAAAAAATTTTTCCTAATATCCAGCCTGAGCCTCCCCTGGCGCACCCTGAGGCCATTTCCTCTCATCCTGTCGCCTGTGACTTGAGAAAAGAGACCGCCCCCCCCCTCTCTACACCCTCCTTTCAGGTAGTTGTAGAGAGCAATAAGGTCTCCCCTCAGCCTCCTCTTCTCCAGGCTGAACAACCCCAGCTCCCTCAGCCTCTCCTCATAAGACTTGTGCTCCAGACCCCTCACCAGCTTTGTCGCCCTTCTCTGGACCCGCTCCAGCACCTCAATGTCTTTTTTATGGTAGGGGGCCCAAAACTGGACACAGTACTCAAGGTGAGGCCTCACCAGTGCCGAGTACAGGGGGACAATCACCTCTCGGGCCCTACTCGCCACGCTGTTCCTGACACAGGCCAGGGTATATTTGTTGCCTTCACACGCTCTGTATGATCTTATTGAACACTTTGTTTTAGAAACAGGTTAAAATACAACTCTGAGAACTTCTGATCCCAGTTTACATGGAGAGTAACTCTTTACTGCTGCTCTGTGTAACCCTGGCCTTAATAGGGAGGTTCAATACACGATGTCAAGTGTTGCCTTTCGAATAACTCCAACTACAGCCTTTTGACTCTTCTTTCCAGCTACAGCTGAAGTTTCTTTTTCATTGCCTGCAAAGTCAACACTAGCATTGGTCTGGGATAAATAAAAAACAGACATACCATTTAAAAGCAGACTCACCATCCTAATACAGAAGATTGTCCCCCGTAAGCACACCTGGTTAGACACACACGCTCGCTCACTTTGTCCCCATCACTCAAAAAGGCCAAATTTATGGCGTAGCACCCTCCCCAAATTTCAACAATCATCACACGTACTCACCTGCAGTTTTCTGGCACTCTGCTCTTGATTTAGCTGCTTTTCAATGACCTGCTGGTACAGCTTAGCTCTCAGCGTCCGCAGAGCTATTTCCTTGTTCAAAAGCTGGGATCTCTCCTGCTGGCACTCCACTGCTAGGCCTTTACAGAGGAATTCGAGAGAGCTCAGATCAAAAGCCCATTATAGTAAGGAACAAACAAGCTAAATTAATTCTACCACATTAGGCAAATGAAGCCTTCCAGAGCGTTGGTTTGCAGGGCCTTTAAGCTGTGGGATAAAAAGTCATTTTAACACACTGGCCAGAACCCCTGGTATGTTTTTTAAACTCTTGGTAGCTGCAGCAGGGGCTTTGTTCAGTGCTACAGAAAGTCAGGGATGTTTTAAAATTTCATGAAGCAAACGAGCTTCTGACATCGCCTTCAGAAAATGGGTTCACTCCAATTACCTATCACATGTTGAAAATGTAATTTGCACGGTTTACAAAGACATGTTTAAAACAGTGTAACACAAGTTTTTAAAGTCTTAGTCTAGACAAGCTCTTGGAGATTGGAAAAACCAATATTCTAGCAGAGCAGGGTGCCTGAACAATACTGGAGAGTCTTTAACTTAGTTATGAATAATGAAATAAAGTAAAATAAAGGTCTTTAAAAGAAATTTAGTATTTCTTTTTACTCCTCATTTGATTTCTGAAATAAAAAGGCACGTAGGAAACAGCTGTTTTCAGGTCACTACTGAAATTTCCTGTCCTAAGGAGATTTCTACATCTGTACAGATAGCAGCCCACTGAATTTCAATAAAGCCAAATCCTGAGAAGGATGGAGTGGTCCAGTATATACACCACCTTCCCGTTAGCATACATTTTCCTTCCTATTCAACACATGACAGCATTTTCCAGTACTGAGTGAAAATCTTCAAGTCTCCTTTTGTCTCAGTCTTGTAACTAGAGAGGTTCCAGCCAGGCAAAGTGCACCCCAGATTGCCAGAGGCCGCTATTCCTGAAGGAGCACGTGGCACGAATTATTTACATCTTCCCTCCCATCCCTGTCACCCTCCCTTTGTTCTTTCATCCTTCAAAGACAATCTATTCATTAAACACGTCCCTCTGAAGACAAAACTGGCATCACAGCAACGCGCCGACCATTGTGCCACTGAGACACACTCCTTTTCTCACAGGGTGCCTTGCTTTTACTTCCTTTTTTTTTTTTTTTGGTATAAAGTCCAGCCCTACAAATTCACTCTAGGAGACAACTTGCAGGAACAGCGTGGCAAGTAGGGCCCGAGAGGTGATTGTCCCCCTGTACTCGGCACTGGTGAGGCCTCACCTTGAGTACTGTGTCCAGTTTTGGGCCCCCTACCATAAAAAAGACATTGAGGTGCTGGAGCGGGTCCAGAGAAGGGCGACAAAGATGGTGAGGGGTCTGGAGAATAAGTCTTATGAGGAGAGGCTGAGGGAGCTGGGGTTGTTCAGCCTGGAGAAGAGGAGGCTGAGGGGAGACCTTATTGCTCTCTACAACTACCTGAAAGGAGGGTGTAGAGAGGTGGGGGTCGGTCTCTTTTCTCAAGTCACAGGCGACAGGATGAGAGGAAATGGCCTCAAGTTGCGCCAGGGGAGGTTCAGGCTGGATATTAGGAAAAATTTTTTCACTGAAAGGGTTATCAGATATTGGAATGGGCTGCCCAGGGAGGTGGTTGAGGCACCATCCCTGGAGGTGTTCAAAAGATGGGTTGATGTAGTGCTGGGAGGTATGGTTTAGTGATGATGCTCCTTGTTTGTTGTGTGGGTGTCTATTTTTGTCAGTTAGGTTGACGGTTGGACAAGATGATCTTTAAGGTCCCTTCCAACCTAGAAGATTCTGTGATTCTGTGGATCACAAGCTTTCTCTTCAGATTTGGGCTGACTAGAATTACAAAATACAGCCAGACTTACCCGTGGGAAGGTGCACAATTCTCACGGCGCTATCGGTTTTGTTAACGTGTTGCCCTCCAGCTCCTTTGGCCCTGAAGGTATCAATGCGCAAGTCTTTGGGGTCCACTTTAACATCAACCTGGAATCAAAGAAAATTACTACTTTCTGCTCATTCTCAAAATATTTTTAATGTCTTTTCAATGGTGAAATAAAAAAATGCACTCCTCAAAAAACTATGCTTTTACAACTGTTCCTGAGTAACAGCTATAATTATTATACTTTAAAAAAATGCCAACGGTAAGTATCTCTGCAATGCAAGTGAGGCTTTAAATATTTCACTTATTTTTTCAAACTCTTACCCCAGGTGCTTCACAAAACAAGGCACGTGTGTGTGTGTGAAACAAAACAAAATCAGCACCTTTTTGTAAAACCACCAGCTTTGGCAGGGAGACTAAGAAATAAGCAAATAATCAAACATTGCTTCTAAACAGCAGCGCAAGGAACTTGTTCATGAGTCAAGCCAGAATGATTCTTGCAAGAGTTCTTAAAAACATCTAACTGAAGGAAAACTGGGTGTAACCAGATCCAAGCAAGGATTGCAGCATTGGAAACTTGAGTCCATGGTGACCCGGACCATAGTTTGAGCTCAGTGGATGGGAAAGGAACATTCAGATCTAACCAATGTTGTAAGGAAAGCATTACAAGGAAGCAGGAGAACGTGCAGGAAAGGCTACAGGATCTGGTTTTGTTTATTTTGTGTGTAAACTGCTGGTTTAAGTGAGAACGGTCGGTATCACCAAGATCTCAGAAACACCAGCCAACACACTCATTCAAATTCAAAGCAGACCGTCCTTGATTTAACAGAGAAGGACAGCAATAATTTAAATGAAACAAAAAAAAAAACCAAACCCAAAAGGACCTGCAGAATCACATTGCTATGCAACACTGAATATTTTCTTGGATATATTCCCCGTCTTATTACATGACGTAATTTCAAACTGGCTTACTCATAGCAGTCAGCTTTGTGAGTGTTGGGGCTGGAATACTTACTGAAACCATCACTGATTTAGATGTCATTTCAGGCAATAGTAAATCTCTGCTAAGTTGCTTATCATGATCCATTTAAACACGTAAGGTGCAGAGCCAAGGACTATTGCCTTCCAGAGTCAGAGAACTTGTGGTTCACTTGCTGAGACTTGCAAGGAGCACTTGGGTATCAATAAAATCCCCAAACAGTTACAGTAACATTGCTATAAATGACACCTACTCCAGTGCCAAAAGGGGTGACCAGGGATACAGCACCTCGTCACCCTGATTTACCTCCTCTGGCTGAGGGAGGACAATAACTGACATTGTCCCCGTGTGAATCCGCTGCATTCTGGACGACAGGCCCGTCTCGGGGATTCGCTGGACTCGATGAGTCCCTCCTTCATATTTCAGATGCCTGTAGACATCATCTCCCGAAATATGAGCAGCGGCGTGATGCAACCCACCTAGAGAGACAAATAAGGGTGACAAATAGAGCACAGAAACAGCTTTTCGTTTCATTGTCTCGGTGGAATGTCTGAAGAAGCGCTGTACCTATCTCAGCCGGCGTATAGTTCACGATGTCAAAGGTCCAACGTTTATAGTCCGCATAGTTCTGGTACATCTCAAACATTTCTTTAGTGAACTGTTGGCAGATGTCTCCTAAAAATATAAAGGCACTACAACATAAATAGCAGTTCACAAAATGGCAGCCACTGGTTTTTAGATTTAGTTGCGACTTTAACCACAGTCATTAGATTGATACTCTTCTTTACAAAGTATTACTTTACACCATTAAAGTATAAAAAGGCATTAAGAATAACGCGTAAGAGGTTTAATGAAGTTGGATAGAGGTTTTAAGTAATCTTTACTGCAGGAACTTCGCTGACCTCCAGTTGTTCTGCCAGCTGTCACTTCTAATATGACATGACTTCTATCGTATTTTTCCTTTGGCACTAGAAGCTGGAAAAGCTGAAAAGGAAAAGAGAAAACCACAGAATGTCATTATCTCCTTCATGACTCTGTATCTCCTTTTAATCAAATTTACAGCCAGCCTTCACAATTGCCGCGGCCTGACCGCACACAACCACTTACTTCTTTTGGCAAACTGGTAAGTAGGACTGAAAACTAGTCTTACTAGTTGCAACTAGTTGCAATAGCTGTCACAACTCAGTGCAGCTGGAGGGGAAACGGGATATGGTGGGGTATCCACAGTAAAGCTAGCTGAAAATTTGATCCCGCAAAGTCAGGTGCCAGGTCACTCACTCCAGCCCCAACTACCTATGAACACAAAGGTATTAGCTGTAATCCACCTAATCTTTACATTAATCTTATTTTTCAGAAAGTCCCATTTCATATTATCTCAATCTGAACACAGAAATGGACCCAAACACAGAGTTCTCCACTGAAACGTTTCAGCTTCTCCGCTTTTAATTAATCCCCCCACTCATGGGCTGCAGTCAGCTGAAAAGAAAATGAAAGACTGCAAGTTCCAATCAGGAATCTTTCAAGAATTCATGCTCTGCTGCCACAAACAGTTACTGGGATGTCATGTCAGGTCTCAAGAGCACAGACTCGCCACTTTTTTAATCCCCTTCAGCATCTGCAGATAGACAAGCAAGCAACCAAAAATGACTCAAATAATAAGCTTCTGAGACACAATTGTCAGTAAGAAGCTCACTAATAATTAATGTTGCCACTTCTTCTCAGGGAGAATAGAGAAGCTGGACTTCTGTTCCATTAAATGCAAGTGTCAGAATCTATTGGTAAGATCACAACAGAACATTTTTCTGACAACTTTATTTACAAAGCCATATAATTTTACCTCAGGCTCACCTTTCTACACAACATGTTGATTTTCTTATCCAGGGTTTCCTTCTCTTCCAGGGCAAGCTCTAGAAGTTGTTTCTCATCTCTGCTGTCTAGGTCTAAATTCACCAACAAGGAATAGATGTTACCCTGTGTCACTTAGTTCAGAGCAAACAGTAATACAGCTGACCAAAGACATGCACTGGGGCACATAGAAGCTTGCAGTAGCATTTTGCCAGCATGAAATACCAAATAAGAGCAGCCCAAGCCACGATGTGTATTGCTATTGCTAATTAAATGATCAGATATTTCAGGTGTGCAGGAAGGAGTAGCAGATATCTTACCACTCACTCTCTACCTGGTTGCTCAAATCTGCATCAAGTAGATGCCACTCCCACCTGACAGTTGCTCTCAGTTATACTGACAGTTATGTCTCACAGATTGACAGTCCAGGGGTAAATCCACAAACAGATTTAACAAAATACATCAGAAACACACCTGCAGACAAGAAGTGCCTCAGTTTCCCTTATTACAATTTTTCACGCAACAAAATTTTTTGTTTCTAGTCGTGCCCAGAAACACCCATATATTCTACAATTTGCAGGCAACTCATTAAGGTGAGCCCTAAAATTAATGGTACGATGATAATAATGAGGTTTCTAACCTTCTGTCTCCTGCTATTCAAGAGATCACTGAGATGTGGGAGTTATGGATGCAAGTCATCAGGATGTGGGAGACCTCACTTTGAACCTTTGCTTTGCTTAGGGAGATTCCCTTCCTCTCTCTTCAGCACGTGAGACCACAACCTGGAGCGTCGTGCCCAGGTTTGAGCTCCCCAGTACAAGAAAGGCATAGAAATACTGGAGTGAGTCTAGCTCGGAACCACCAAGATGGTCAAGGGCTGGAGGAAAGGATGTACAAGAAGAGGCTGAGAAAACTGTGTTTGTTCCCCCTTAAGCAAATCAGGGGAAGGAGAGGTTTTATTGTTGTGTACAACTACCTAAGAGAAAGACAGACAGACTCTGTATATCATGACAAAAGAAGACATAAGCTGGAATATGGGAAATTCTGATTAGATATTAGAAAAACTATTTTCACCCTAAGGGTGGTCAGACACCTGGACAGGGGCCTAGAGAGGCTGTAGGATCTCTGTTCTTGGATATATTCCAAACTCAACCAGATAAGGCCCTGGGCAACCTGCTCTAACTGGTCCAGACCAAATGACCTTTGGAGATTCCTTTCTAAATTAACTTAAACTAAACTAAATTATTTGATGATTCTGTCATTAGATTGCCCCTTCCCACATTTTAGAGCTTACTACCAGACTAGGACACATGCTCAGGTAAAGCTAGCAGAAGCTCCAAACCTTTTCTGCCAGGGAGGCTCCAGTTTACAATAATTAAAGAAAACCTGCCACTGCCAAAAAAAGGGAGCACCCTCTCCTTTATATCTTTCTTGCTGCTGTTCTACCAGCTGAGTGGCAGCTCTGTCACTCATCAGAACACACACATTTACTGGTAGCCCCAGCAGCAAGTCTTAAGAACTAAACATGCTGGGATGATGAACCAGCTTTGTATACTGGGCAAGGACAGCAGCAGCTCCTCCGTGTCACAGTTCTTAATTTACACTCTGGGTCTTTTGTCCTTAAAGAAAAGATGTCAGATCAACACTTGAACCTGGCATCCCCTCTACATGAGACAAGAACTGTACAGATTTCCCTACCAGAATGTCACAAATCCAACCCAAAGCTCATACTGAAGCAAAGGCTTCTAGCTGGTCCAGAAAGCATCATTACTGATTAGTTAGTTAAACAGTATCAAATTAACTACTGTCAGCAGAGATGAAAGAATGGTCTGGTGGTGACCAATGAGCTTGAGGTTCAAAGGACTGGCATCCCTTTCCTACCTCACTGCAAACTTGACCTTTAAAAAAATCCCTTAATCTACCCCGTGGCTCACATCACCAGTGGCAAACCAGGAAATAACATTTTTCTGCTTCACTGAGTGTTGCAAATATAAAATCCTACAGCAACTGTGAGGAATTCAGGTACTACAGAGAAGAGGGTCACTTAGGCAGCTATCAGAACACAAAGAGCAGTCAAACTTTCTTCAGTCTTCACTGTTAGGACTACCCCTCATGAATCTGTGGCCTTAGAGGCAAGGGGGATGGTATGGAGAGAGGAAATTTTTCCTCTAGTAGAGGAGGGCCAGGTTCGGGACCACTTGGCCAAACTGGACATTCATAAGTCCATGGGGCCTGATGGGTTGCACCCACGAGTGCTGAGGGAGCTGGCAGACGTTATCGCTGGACCACTCTCGATCATCTTTGAGAAGTCGTGGAGAACAGGAGAGGTGCCTGAGGACTGGAGGAAGGCCAACATCACTCCAGTCTTCAAAAAGGGCAAGAAGGAGGACCCTGGGAACTACAGACCAGTTAGTCTCACCTCTGTCCCTAGATGATTCAGGGATTGGAGCATCTCCCTTATGAGGAGAGACTGAGAGAGCTGGGACTCTTTAGTCTGGAGAAGAGAAGGCTGAGGGGAGACCTTATCAACGCCTACAAGTATCTCAAGGGAGGGTTGAAGGAGGAGGGAGCCAGACTCTTTTCAGTGGTTCCCACTGAGAGGACGAGGGGCAACGGGCACAAGTTGGAACATAAGAGGTTCCACTCAAATATGAGGAGAAACTTCTTCACGGTGAGGGTGACGGAACCCTGGAACAGGCTGCCCAGGGAGGTTGTGGAGTCCCCTTCTTTGGAGATTTTCAAAACCCGCCTGGATGTAGTCCTGAGTAACATGCTCTAGCTCTAGGCAATCCTGCTTCAGCAGGGGAGTTGGACTAGATGATCTCTATGGTCCCTTCCAACTCTAGAAATTCAGTGAAATTCAGTGAAATTCAGTGAAACGAAGGGAGCATCTGTGTTTTAAATTGGCCACATGATAAACAGTACAGATAGAATAATTTAGTGCCATTTAATTAAATTCTTGGCTCTAATTTTCCTTCATTCTTTTCTTTTCCCCTCTTTCAACTAGAACTCACTCCGTTCATCCACATCACACTTTACAGAATTAGAAAAATTCTTCATTATATTTACTTGATCCAAAAATGGCCATTTAAAGTGTGTATTTTCCAGTGTTTTCTTAATACTTTCTAATTCTTCCAAGAGCATTTCTTTTTCAGCATTAAATTTTTGTCCCTCCTCACCTTCACTCCCTTTTCTCTTTCTCCAGTGCAGAACACTTGAGGGTGGTAGGGAATAAAACATTTTAATAACCACCATTTTGTCCAAAAGCACAAACATCTATTTATTTTTAAAACTAAAGAATATAAATGTTTTCTACCTCTCTAAACATTTTAGCACCTTTATTTCAATATGGCTTTTACTGTTTTGTCAACAACCCTTGGCTGTCTCTGAAAAACACCATGAACTTTCAAACTTCTCCATTTACACCACTGGCTACCCACTTCTCCTGTCCTTTGCTCTCCCCTGGCTTCAGTTCTTTAATGGAAACCCCATTCTCTCCAGGCCAGTGTTTCCCTCTCTTGGCTTAATACCTCCTCCCATTGTTTAATACCATGTAGCAGAATGGGTGACATTTGCTCTTTGCTACTGTGTCCACCTCCTTGCACACTTAATAATGTTTTTTGTCAAAATGTTGCAGTTACTTTGTAAATTCTTTTACTCCTTCTGTACTTATTCCTGAACATCATCAAAACCAGCAACAATTTAATATTCTTTTTTACCCCAACTTCTACTGTCACAGTGTATTGAAAAGCAGAAGCTTCTTAGAAAACTATCAATTTTTATTCCTTGAAGGACTATTCAAATATTTTTCAAAGAAATATTAGCTTTTGACATTTAAATTGGAAACTGGCAATGCATGTCATAATGAAAATTCATGTAATTTGCTCAATAAGTATCCATGAACTGGCTAGATGGGTTCCCATTTTAAATAACACGCATAAAGTCTGCATCTATCAAATGTATTAGGCTCACTAAATTTTTTTCCTTCAGTTAACACTGCTCTCAATTCTATCAAAAAACAACCTTAAGACAAACATTTCCAAACTACTTCTGCTAGACAGACAGCCCTGAGACTCCAGACGATCCCAACGCTCCCAAGTTGACTATACTAAAACCTCAATCTGAAGTGAGGTGAGATGAAAAATGGACAGACGTGGTTGGATGCAGAAAGCCCTAGCAGCATGCAAGCTCTCAAGACAGGCAGGACCAGAGTGTTCCAGGGCTGGCTTAACTTAATTAAAAGCTTTCTTTAAAGGCTGGCTGATGAAGTTTATCACAAGCCAAGTTGTTGTTTGGACATGTGCTCCTTACCTCTGCACATTGCTTCTAACTCCTCGACTTCCTTTTCAGCCGCTTTGATTTCTTGAAATGCAGCTGCAATGGGGGACAGATCGGCGCATCTCTTCCTCAGGGTTCTTTGCTCAAAGTCACTTATTGAGTCAGCATTTAACAGACGACTGACCTGTTCGTACTCTTTGCTCAGAGTCTCCAGATACTTCTGCACAGCCTCATGCTTCCACAACGCTCGAGACTCCTGATGTGTTTTCCTATGCCGACTGTTAAAAGACAGCGTGAATCCAGCCGTGTCCAACAAAGATTTTGGCCTCCAAAATCCACAGTTGTGCAGTCCCACCACAGAACTTAACTTCTTTGCAACAGGAGGGAGAAGACAGCTGTGAAGTTGACCATGACAGTAGCAACTGGCAAGCAGGCTCTTAAAAAGACTGACACTTCGGAAAGGTTTCATTTTGTTTCTTGTTTTTCCACCACCTGAAATTAAAAGTAGACAGTATATGGACCACTGTTAATTCTCTGGAAAAACAGGGCATTCTATTCTAAAAAGAAACACAAAGCGAAACAAACACAAGAACTGTATCAGGCCCAAATCCTGTTTTGATTACACCAACACAAACGCAACTGTCATGGACAAAAGTAATGGTTTAAAATAGAAACTTTACTATTATACTGACTGAGGGTTGGAAAAGGTCTCTCCTCCCTTACCTCTTCAGTTTATTTATGCTCTGGGAAAGCTACTCTAGATGTGACTTTACAGACAACAGCTTCATTTTGCCATATGCCTAACTGAAAAAATCCAACCATTTCATGCCTTATGTTGCTCACAGAAGACAAATCTATACTAGAGATGCTAGAATTATATAGAGAGAATGTATGAAATGTGCAAAACTAATGTGCAAAATTATACCCACTACCATAATGAAATATAACTTTGGCAGGAGAACCTTAGGAACATCTAACTGACCTTGCAGCAGATAAGTCAATAGGACTACAATACACTTGCAAGAAATTACTCATTCATATATGTACTATGTAAGACATAAGCACAGTGCTTTAAGTCACATGTCCTCCTTCCCACAATATATTTACATATAAGTGTTATAAACATTTTCTATCCAAAAAGCAAGTATTTTGAAATGCAACTCCTGTATTCTTCTGAGACACTTGGCCTACAGTTTTGCAGGACACAGGCTCCCCTTAGCAACACCGTGGCTCTATGAAAGATCTTTTCCTCTTCATTTTATACCATCAGCATTGCAAATTATGCTATGAATTCTTACCATGCTCTAAGAATTTATATTGGAGTGCAAGGGTCTACCAAGAGGACTGAAGTGAAATCGTTCTTATTCTACGACTACTCACACAGAAAAGGTTTAACAAATAAAGAAGTTCTCCTTAATATCTCTGTCAGTGTCACAATCCCGTCTGCTGATTTAAAAAAAAAAAAAAAAAGTGTATTCAGAGAAAATGAGAGCATGCAACTTTGGCAAAAATCTCCTTGAAACAAACACTTCAGTTTTCTGACACAATTATTTTTTACTCATCAGTGACAAGACCTTCTGTGCATCTTCAGGCATTTTATTAACAAATTACTGTGACATTCCAACTACTTGGCTCACCCATTACCCTCACCTATTTACTTGCATCCATTTGTGCACACTGACAAAAGAGCAATATGCAGTAATTCCAGCAGTACTGCATCTTGCTTGCCTGAATGTCTGTTCTACTACCTACAGAAGGAGGGAAGCACCTCCGTTGTACTTCTGCACCTTCCCCAGATTCCCCAGACAGCAGGTGCTATTGAACCCTCCGTGGCAATTTCAGGACTGCTGTAATTTATAGAAAGCCAACCATACCCTCATGGCTTGTTCTAGTGACTAAACCTGGATGTAGCAGAGGGATCCCATTCCCTTCACCAAGGAAGGGAACAGCAAAAGGCACAAATCAGGCTCATCACCTACAATCCTGGGCTTAGCTGCTCGTGGGCACATATACACTCAATTCCAAAAGATGTAATTCTGCTGATAGCACTGGAGTTGCCCCAGGCCCACATGGCCCACCATAGAATCACAGGATGGTCAGAGTTGGAAGGGACCTTAAAGATCACCCAGTTCCAACCCCCCTAGATCAGGTTGCTCAAAGCTCCATCCAGCCTCGCCTTGAATACCTCCAAGGATGGAGGTTTGGTCAAATGCTAACCACCATTAACTCATTTTTAAAATATTAATTTTATATTTTATTAATTAATTAAATATGTTAATAATTTTTACTGGAGTAGTTACGAAGCAACGTACTCAAGTAGTAACAGATCTGTACTATTGTTCTGCCTGAGCTCTCAAAACTAAAATTCTTGGGTTTAAATTCCTAAAAAGCCTAAGTAATGGCATGACAAGGAAATCAGAAATTGCAAAATAACTTTGAGATGTTAAATAAAACAAGTATCTCCTTTTCAGAGAGATGTTGCTGCATTACATTTGTGCAGAAATAAGCACACATAAAACTTTTACAGAGCTATGACCAGCAGATGACCTATTCACTGCTTTCCAAACCAGATTCTAATAACTTTTTATGTGACAAAATTACCCCGTGCACATTCACAAATCAAAACCAGTACGCAAAAGTGACAACTGTAATTCTTATTACAATATAACTTAGTTATGTCACTTAAATAACACCAAAAAAATATATTTCCAGACAAGAAACAGTTAGCAACGCTGTGACCACTTTAAGAGGTTTAAAAAATAATTTCTAACAATCAAAGGTGCTATTAACCCCATGCAAATTAATTCTTATAATAATAAGAATATGCAGGTGCACGGAAGGAGCATGTCTTTCAAAGCATGCTGTAAGAGGAACAGCTCAAGGTTGTGCCACCTTTGGTACACCTCTGCCCCCCACCCTGAGCAAACCCCCCGAAAGCTGTGCACCAGCACAGCAGCCTTTCCTCCTGGCAGCCCTTCCTCCTGGCAGGGGTTACGGGTGGATGGGGAAGGCAGGAGCAGGCAGGGGCAGGCAGGGGCAGGCAGAGGTCACGCAGTGGTGGCAGAGGGTGGCTATGGGGGGGCTCTGCTCCCCAGCACCCACCGAGAAGCTTTGCAGCTCGCCATCCGCACGCATCGGTGCAGGACGGATCCTACCTCGAAAGAGGAGGCCATGGCAGCCGGGAAGCAGAGCGGAAGAACTGCCAGTCCCAGCATGCCTGCTGACAAACAGGACTCCCGGCGTGCTCTGGCTCGGGCTCGGGCCCGCGTGGCCAGCTGGCCAGCCAGCCCTCCGCAGCACGGCCAGCCCGCGGGGGGACACAGGGTACCCTCACCACAGCTCTGCCAGCACCCCTCCAGCAACGCCGTCGGGAAAGGGGGGCTCTGCTCGGCTTTGTGGAACGCAAGCCCCGAAATAAAAAACGGGGAACGCAACCGTAAAAGCAGCTCTTCATTTTCTTCCTCTCAGTAACACACCCCCCAACTTCGGCACGCTTCGGAGGAAACTTAAGGCAAGAGGAACAGCAATTGGGAATATTTCACTTCTCTTTCCAACTTCTAAACTGTTCTGTTACATACACTTTTCCATGTATTTGCCCAAAACGTGGGCTGAAAACACACGTCATTTCAAATCTGGTTATTCAGAGGCTAATTTCAGAGAAGTCTGCATAAAACAACATTAAGTCCCACTTTATGTCAAAGCTCAGAATTCAATTATATTTAAAATTAATTATTAATATCCTACTACAGACAAATATCAGTTATAAAATATTAATAAGCATAACTGTTCAGATTCTCATTACACTAATAGGCTGCCCCTTCCTAATAAGGCATTTTTAAAATATACTATACATATGCACATTTTAATAGCTAATATTAAACAGATTACACAACTACCTCCCTAATCATTTGCATTTTAAAAAGACTTAAGTAACATTGGGTTTTTATGCCTATAATCACCAAAAAAATCACTTTACCTACTCTTTGCTATATACGCTATAGGAGGAAAATGTATTCAAACATCTAAAATGAAGAATTCTGCTGCTTGAGACTGTTTTACATTTCCCTTAGATGCCGCACTTGGATTGAAAAGTCATTCTCTCTTCTGAGAGAACTTCCCCCCCCCTTTTATATTTGAGCAGATCCAGCTCTGCTGAAAATCCTTGAAAACCCACTGTGCGCTGGGTTTCTTTCTTCCCAGCTACTGTCGCTCAACAGGATTTTTAAAAGGTAAAAATTTGGTGTTTGGCACATATAACATCAGCGGGGTTCGGTGAGGTAAACATTCCAAATGACTGAAAATGAGACGGATGGGAAGGATTTGGATTGAACCTCATCAGCACACAAAATGACAACTAATGGCTTGTTGAGATCCGAGGACAGATTCCAGCTCAGCTCCATCCCCAGGACAGAAGGCAAGGCAAACAAATTAAAAGGCTCTTCCAGAGAATAGGATCCACTCCAGAGCTGATCCAATCTACCAAGGGGTCACAGCAAACAGCAGTCTGAAACCTCCAAGGTGCTTCTCCAGGCCTGCCCCGTGTGACGCCACCGTCCCCACCATCCCTCACTCTTCTGCCACTGTGACTTAGGCCTCAGTCAAAGGAAATAATAAAATTATCCTTGCACTGGGACTCTAAATATGCAATCTGATACTTAAAAATCTTGGGAAGGTGATCTACGGGAGGACAACCAATAAGCTACTAAAAACATGAAAACTGTAAGCAGACCACACACACAAAAATTGATTTTAAAAGAAGAGGATAGGCCAAGGAAAATCAAATCAGCTTCTGCTCCAGCCAGTAGTGGTTCTTGCTTAAAGCCTCTGATTAAATGCGATCATGATTCAGTTTTTATTTTGCCTTGACAGTGAGTTCTTTAACTTAACTCAGAATGTGAAAACAGAGACTGTAACAAACTCTCAGCCCTCCCGACCAGGCAGCAGACCTGGGAGGGACCACATGGCCAAGGCAAGGGCCAGACTCTGTGCTGTCAGCAGGGTTGCCAGATATACCACCTATCACAGGACTTAGGCCATGCATCTCATATTCAAAATATATAAAATAACATTCTTTCCCCATATTTACCATACGCTTTTAGAAGGCAATATGGGAATTGAGTAGGACGAAGAATGGGAAATCCCGTTGCCATCTGTACTGCCACCTCCCTCATGGTTGCTTTGATGCCTTAAAACCTGCATGGCCAAAGCAGCTGCCTATGGAGCTGGTGAGAACCAAGGGGTCTGGGGATGGAGGCTGCATGGGGCAGGCTGCCACTGCCCTCCTCAGCCACCACAGCAGCCCAAAGAGACACCTCTTTGGGTGTCCCTGCAGAAGAGTGACAGCAGAAATACAGCAAGGCTTCAGGACAGAAATGGAAGTCCTGTACTTTAAAATCTGGCAATCCTAAACTGCCAATTGCTTTAGAAACCGGAGGCAAAGAAATGGCTCATCAGACAAAACAGGCTCTTGGCCTTACAATCTGCTTGTCCCTGCCCACACGGAGGCCCTTTTCTGCTCAGGGGGCCCTAACTGGGTTTAGTGATCTGCAAGCATCATGCCACAACTTCAACGGACACCAAGTGATGTTGACAGGTCACGGAGTAAAGTGAGAGGCACGGCAAAACGACAAGCTTGTTATAATGTATATATCACTTTAATATTGCTCCCCCCTTTCGACCCAAATAGTTTGTTGACTGACTTCTCAATTCTTTCTGTTTGAAGGAAAAAACTGGTGACAGAATCATACGCGTCTCGAATACAGTCCTGTTTATTAACAAAGCCTGTAGAAAGAGCTTTGTTTTGCCCAGCACAGTGGGATTAAATGACAAGAAGTTTTCTTGACTGCGCTCCCAAACCTCACTTTCAACTAGAGCTCTGCCTCCCCCAAAGCTCCTTTCTTTGTTTATTCTCTCCCAGCTAGTCCACAAACATTTCTTTTATTGCCTCCCTGCTTTCCTTTTCTTGCTGCTTTTAACACAGATTTTTAAGGCAGACACATGTCTAAATGCAAATCGAACCCCTGCCTCTTATTTGCAATTTGTCAATTTTCAGACAGCATCCCTTCCAGTATTTGGACTAGCAGGAAACAGAGACCTTTAGCTGTCAAGAACAGCCTTACTGCTGGAGACCAAAGGTCCACCCAGCACGATATTTGCCTAATCATCTCGGAGATGCATCTGTTTATCACTCAGCCCAACCAGAGGCATCACATGTGTTTTGCTAAGACAGAAAACTAGAGCTCATAAAGTCAAAGCTTCAGCTAGTTATAAACAGCACTGAATACGTGCTGTGGCACAACCAGGCTCTGAAAATGACACAGCAGGGCAAAGTCAAGTGGGCCATCCTTGTCTACAGCACTCCTGCTCTGAAAATATCTGATGCCCAACACAGCAGCAACTCCACCATGTAGCAGAAAGAACAGTGAACTGGGTACAGCATGTGGAAAACACACATACTGCTGTCAGTGACCCAGGCCACTGACATTATTAGAAGTATGCCAGAACAAAACAGTGAGAAATAAACATAATAAAGATATCCCTTCTACAAAGAAACTTCTACATCTAAACAGATTAACAAAACAACACCAATAACCACCGCCCACAAAAACAGTGGCCATAAACTGATGCTTAGCTAAGAAGAACCAGCAAAGCATACACTGGGCTTCTTTAATATTTTCCTCACCTTTTTCCTAAGCTTACCACATTTTTTCTTTTTCTAATTATTACTCCTCAAGTTATCCAGGCCGTTATCCAGGTTACTCTCTTCCAATAAATCATCCACTCTCTTGTTCCCTCTTTTAGCCTAAAAGGAAAGCAGCTATCATGTCCTTCAGCTTCAGCAAGGCTCATGCCAAGTCAAAGACACACTGCTTGGGATCCTGTCAGTCAGTCACCTACTTTTATGTGTAAACAAATAAAATATGTTAAGTACACAGCCTTTCTAACTGGCTTTTGTTATATACTATTTTCCACACACTTGCTTTATTGTGGGTATCTATCATGTTCATCATCTCAGACAGTAAGTGGATAACCATATTATTAAAAAAATTAATATCCCTTTAAAACATACCAAAATATAATTAATATTTTTAAAGGGTAATTACATAAACACAGATTCCAACTGAAGCTGCCTAATTTTTATTTCCCCTGTAAGATGGTCGTTTGTAATTGCTTGTAACCTTGTCAGTTTAACCAGTTTTCTTTCTAAGTACATGCCCCAGGCCATGTGCTTTCAGTGTTTCCGGTTGGTTATTTTTTTGTTATTTTTAAATTTTTGCAAAGATTCATTTAAAAATGATTTCTGGGAATAACGAAAAGAACAATTTATTTCCAAAAGACCTTAAACCTCTTTTGGTGAAGGAGCCAAGCCATAAATAAACACTTACTGTTCTAAACAGGCACGATAGAGCTGGGAAGTTTTACATAATCAACTGCTGAAAAACGCACCAAATGCAATAGATGACATCCCCGCTTGCTCAAAGCCTGACTGCTGATTTTGCTGTTCTTCCCTTAAATTACCACCCGGGCACAGCAAGCCGGCAGCCACTCAAAAAAGGCTCTGCAGTTTGTAGTTTTGCTCTCCTCCAGCAACACCTCCCAAGGCTTTCGGGCAGCCTGGCTCTCCAAAATAACCACTTCAAGCAAGCTGGCGGGATGGCGGCCACCACCACTGGGTTACCAGAGGCAGAGAAGCAGGGGGATGGCGGCCACCACCACTGGGCTACCAGAGGCAGAGAAGAAGGGGATGGCAGCCACCACCACTGGGTTTCCAGAGGCAGAAAAGCTGGGCGGCAGCCACCACCACTGGGTTACCAGAGACAGAGAAGCTGGCAGCCACCACCACTGGGCTACCAGAGGCAGAGAAACAGGCCACCACTGGGTTTCCAGAGGCAGAGAAACAGGCCACCACTGGGTTTCCAGAGGCAAAGAAGCTGGGCAGCCACCACCACTGGGTTTCCAAAGGCAGAGAAACCCAGCAGCCACCAGCACTGGGCTACCAGAGGCAGAGAAGCTGGGCATGGCGGCCACCACCACTGGGTTACCAGAGGCAGAGAAGCAGCGGATGGTGGCCACCATCACTGGTCTACCAGAGGCATAGAAGCTGGGCATGGCAGCCACCACCACTGGGTTACCAGAGGCAGAGAAGCAGTGGATGGCGGCCACCACCACTGGGTTACCAGAGGCAGAGAAGCAGGGCAGCCACCACACAAAGGCGACTTTCTGCGTCCCCCTCCCCTCCCAGCCGCGGCCGGCGGAGGCCAAACGCTGCAAAACCCCCTTCGCCTCAGAAACCGCCGCGACCCGTACGAGCGGGAGTCACTATTTGTGACAAACCTCGGCGGGTGCCAGCCCCTTCCTGCCCTCAGGGCCTTGCCGAGGGCTCCCCGCCTCAGGCCCGCCCCACGGCAGGTTAACTCCCCTCAGGGCCGACAAACAACGAGGCCGGAGGGGCCGA